TTGGTGGTCTAGAATGTGATTAGCATGACAGAATGTTGGGGGTTGGACAAGGGGGCAGCTTGCCTGAAGTTGGGAGTCAAGGTATGCAAAGAGAGTGGGAAATAATGAATGAAGGTAGCTGTCTACCTGTGAGAAGGACCAGTCACAATTGAATTGAAAGTAATCCTGAAAGTTTGCATGGGCCAGCCTGAGTGCTTCAAGCCTAGTAAGGTCTGAAGCTGAAGGGGCTCTTGAGCAGTGAATGACCAGGAAAAGGTGTGTGAGCAGGGGACCAGAGGTGGAACCTGAGTCCTCCATATGGCCACTATCTTCAGGCTATGCATGCATTAGGTATTAACTCTCAATCTGGGGAAGGCACTCACCTCTGCAGTGCCATGAGGAAGGAAGACAATTCAGCTTATGAAAAATTCAGGGCTTTTCATGTTCACTTGTCAGTTCTGTAAGGTAGGCTTATAATGCAGTAATTCTGATAGAGAACAGAGGACTCACCCTTCCAGTCTGTGCTGTCTGTGCACTGACTGCCCTGGACTTTCCCTTCAGTCCTCTGTTTGACTCAAGGTCTGCTTGCCTGTAGGATGGCATTCCCAGCTGCAGTGGGGCTGGGGCATATGTTGGCTGGGAGGAGGAGGCTATGTTAGCAGGGATGCTTGGGCAAGACAGTACTTTCTGTAGCACAGAGGCAACAAGCCCAGAGCCTGAGGGTGGCTGACTGCTGGATGGCTGGGCAGAGCTTTCAGAGAAGGAGGAGGGAGGTCTTTTATGGAGTCACTTTCTGGCCATGATAGTAAAAAGGGAGAGAAAGAATATTAAAGGAATGTAGTAGTGAATGAAAGTGGGAGAATGTGAATTGGTTGTTGGTGGAAGAAACGAAAGTGTAGTTGCAGACGAAATGTCAGTTTTCATGAAAATTCCCATCACATAGTGGAATTGCAGAAACACTAAGTCAAAAATGCAGTAGTAATCAGCATGAGCATGCAGGTAACACATCCTACTGTACAGACATTTAGTTAGCAGTTTCAAGTACATGGATGAGAACTTCCATGGCCTGACACCACCTAAGAGCTTGTGGTCTCCAGATAAATTCTGGAAGCTCAACTATAATTTCCTTTTGGCCATGGCATCCTGAGGGAATGGTCCTCCAACTCTGGATAGCCTTCCCCATCCCACTCCTCTTCCCTGATCCCATATCCAATTGGAATATGTCTGATTTCCTGTACTTGTTGCATGGACAGATGAAACACTTCTTGCCATGCAGGTGAGGGAAATGGGCTGATTCCTTTGGGAACTGGGGCACCATCATTGGCAAATTCAGGTGCTTGATCAGCTGCAATCATAGAAGGAAGATCAGAATTCTGGGTAGCAGCATCACTGTCCTCTACCACATCCTCCCATTCATCATCCTGTTCAGCCAGATGGCCTGGGGTAGAACCATTGCCTTGGTGTTGCAGGCCATAGTAGTGAGAAATGACATTGGGGTGGAGTTGTATGTCATTCTGGAGATATATTCCATGCTCTAGCTGCCTCATGAAATGCATGGTCCTTCCAGTGTTTATGTCAATATTTGGTGGTCATCAGAGCATAGCTATATTACTGCACTCACATTTGGGCTCTGGTCATGACCTTCACCTGAGATTGGGTGAGCATTCCACTCCTCACAAAATGAGGCACAGTCTGCCCTGATATCTGGAAGGAAAAGGTAATGCAGGAGCCACAGGTGGTGGTGGCTGGATCAGTCAAAATGGTGCTCATGCTCCAATTGATAGAAAAAGACCCTCCATGGTTGTGCAAAGCATGTACCAACTTCATGCCAGAGTTGCTCTATGTGTGTATTCTGCTTGGATCTGTACACAGGTGGTAAAGTCAATGAATCATGTGAATGTATGCACTCACATTCCCCACATGAAACTACCTTGGTTCAGCCCCCTGGTCATGATCATGAACACCAAAACCTCTTTATTCTCCCCTCCATGATCTCCATGCACATGGGAAGGCAGTCCATACTTTTCAACTGCATTTAGGAATGTTGCCATCACAGTAGATGATTGGTTGCTAGTATGAGCCTCCAATCCAACAACCTTGAGGGGATTAGTAGATTTTAGTATGCTACAGCACTACCTAGAGGATTCACTCACTGTGCAGCAGTATCCATCAATGATACCATGGATAACTATTCCCCAGTGCATAAGCTTGTGGTGACCATCCATGTGCCAGAGGGCATTTGGGTGAGATACTTTGTATTTGTGATGGTGAGTAGCTGTTCACAACTGAAAGACATGGCCTGAAGGATCCACCCAATGCAGGGATGCAGTAATTTGCCTTCACTGTATCTGCAAGCCATGTTTGCACAATGACCCAGTGATGTAATGTAATCCTGACTGGGGACAGGAAGCTCAGAACTGTTGGATGAGAGTGTCAAGCTCAGAATTTGAGATTGGAGTATGCTGATAATCAATGCCAAACTTCTGCATATAATAGCACAAAGTATGCCAGTGAATTCCAAGAGCATGGGATGGGTTGGATAGGGGTATGTGATGCCCTGAAGACATAGCAGCCTGTAAAATGGCAATATTTGGCTGCTTGCAAGGGCAACCTGGCCTTCAGGTATGCAAAACATCCACAGGCCTTATGTAACTAACTGGAAGTGAATCACTGTAGGCAGTGGTGTTCAGTGTGTATGAAGTATAGTTTTTCAGTACTCACTGTCCTGTTGCAGCTTGTTGTGCACTCTCCAGTTCCTGAAGTAAAATGTCAAACCTTGCTGCACACTCCAACACCCATTCCAGTGGGACTTCTCCCTGGTTTGCCATGTTTTCCAATGCATGCAGGATTGGAATGGCCTCATGGTTAATCTGGCCACTGTGGTATTGGAGCTGGAGAACCTCACTTTGTGCCTGTAAAGCCCTTTTGGCTTGGTCATAGATCTGTGCCAGCTTGTCAGCTGCCTGGAGTACTTGTGCAGGCCAGGTAGTGGAAGGTGCTGTATTACTAGTAGGGAGGTTAGGAAGGACCATGACAGTGGGTGCAGTTTGAGTGTTGTAGTGCCAGGCAGTAAGGACTTGGTCAGTCAGAACTGATGCAAGCATGAGAGGCCACAGTGCTGATTATGTAATCAGTTTCTTGCTGATGAGCACAGGTGTGACCAAAGGCTCCATCTTCTCTTATAGTCCTACTGATAACCCATTGATCCAACTACAGTCAATGGCATCCCTACAGAAGCACCCAAAGTATTGGTTTACAGATGGAAATATTGTGTTTCAGGTGTGCTATTTGATCATGGTCATTGTTATCACTGCTGCTGATCAGATTGATAACAGGCAGACAATGCTCTCTTTTGCCTTCATAGGGGGGCACTGTTTGTCCACTCTCCCACTCTGGAGGGTATCTTCACACTCCCATCTGGGGTTGTGAATGATGGTGTGGATGAAGAGCACCCCATTAAACTTCCAGGAATCTCAGGTGGAGAATTTGAGCACTTCATATCATGGATGTATCATGTGTAAGTAACCCTACATGTACATAACAGGCCAGCATGGAATTACACTGATAATCCTGTATTTCAGTGGCTCTGTTCACCATGACAGGAACCTGCCATCCCTTGTGGCAATTTTGAAGGTGTCACAGCTCTGGCAGATTGATAACAGTATCAACTGGGAAATTGCTCACCTCAACCAGCTGAACCTTTCAGCTGTCACAAGCTTGAATTGGCATGCAAGTATACTATTCCACAGTGGATTCCCCCCTCTGTTTGCCTCTTGCTGCTCAACCCCTTATCAGCTATCACTGAGGACAAAGCATACTGCCTAGGTATTCATGTCTACTCAATCATTGTGAAAGCACATGAAGCTTTGGACATGGAGAGACATATTATTGCTGCTGTTCCACCTGGACTCTCCTTTCCTCCCTTGTCACTCTGTACCACTTCCCAGCATTCAAACTGTAAGGATATCTGGGCTTGCTTCTGGTGGCAGAAAATTGCACATCAGTTGTTGCACCCATGCAATCCCCTTCCCCTCAACTCTTTAGTGCAATTCATTGGTGAGCAGAAGAATCCTGATGGTCTCAACCTAGAGTGCAAGGGGCAGTTTGTTGGTGAGGTGGTGGAAAGTGGTGGGCTTGATGTCAAGGAAAACCTCACTTATGGAGCCATCACTTCTGTACAGGGCTATTATGATACATTGTAATGATCAGGATTTGGAAAGAGGCTAGACAGTGAAACATAGCTCCACAAGTGATTTGAAGAGACAGGAGAGTAGAAAAATAATTTTCTATGTAGCTACCTTCCACCTCAAACTCAACCACAAAGTAACTCAATCCCCCCTGCCTGGACAGCAGCATCATAGGCAGCCTTGATGTGTGTGGAGAAATTGATGGCTGTCCCCTGACACCAGACACCAGGCCAAGCTAGAGTTGTCCCATGCTGGAACTTTGGTTGGACACACTAGAAGATAAATTAACTACTAAGAACATACTAAGAGAATGGTGGAGACAATACCATGGCAGTGTCAGATGCACAGCAAACAATAACTCAGAGAGAGAAATCTACATAGTTACCTCCAGTTGGGTGACCACTTTGATCTGACCTAGCACTGGTTTCTGCAATCTTGCTGTTACAGACCCTGTGCTCAGTGACCCAGTTGAATGCATAGGGTGCATACAACTGATCTGTGTGGATAGGACTGGCCAATTTCAGATGTGTATTGTGGGAGACAAATATGCACCACATACACAGTATAATTCTGACTCATGTATGCCTCAGCTGGTGCTTGGTCAGCACTTCCAAAGTTGAGACAGCCAACAGGGAGGTCCAAGTAGTAACCACATTCTAAGTGTTTCAGAGTTAGCACAATATCAAGTGGGAAAGTCTCCACATACCTTTGATATCACACTCACTTGCCATGGGTGGCAAGCCTGAGGATGCAATGGCAGCCTTAGTTGGTGCTACCACTTCCTCTGGCAGAGTCCTGATCAGAAGGTTCCATGTCAGTGCAAGGATACCCAAGATTGCCCATTCTTCTCATGACACTCATTGTCTGTGAGCTTCTTATCCTTCAAATTTTTTACCAATCCAAATACATGCAGGTGACAAGCCCCAGCATTCCACCCATACTGGATCATCTCTCCCCCATGGGTAGGCTAGAAAGAAGGGTGTGTCAGACCATGAGATAGCAGGTAACATGCAACATACATGAACACCCTTATGGTCATTGACAGCCTCTGATATGACCACATTCACACACTCAAGTACATCAAGGTGCCCACCAGAGCACCCACAGATAACAGCCAGTTCAATTTCACCTACCATGGATGGTCAAAATCATGTGTTAGTACAGGCTTAAATGTAATGTAAATCACTCACCTTCACTGTTGACAAAGATTGCACTTTGCTCTGGAGCCACTGTATACCAGTCCTCACCAGGAGCTGGGACAATGACTGAAGGCACATTACTTGGACACAAGTCTTCATTACTTGCATCAACAAGGACCCTACCCCTCTTGTATGGGGACTTGTGGTCAGTGTCAATGTAATGGTCATGGCATACAACAGCAATATCAGGGTTCTGCCCAACCACTTGATCTAATGGTACAGCAGCATCCTGCAGACTGAGATCTCTGGCCTGGAAATTTATTTAGTGACCACCAATGACTGTAGTTATACAGATTACCACTCACCACTGAATGCTTTGCAAGGTGAATAGTGCTCTGATCCCCTTTCTCCTTCTTGCATGAATGCACAGCCCAGGTGAGCTGCAGGGGAACAAGCTGTTTATGATGGCTGGCAAGGTGCCAAAAATCAGTAATCTAAATACAGAGCCAATGATAAAATAAGTAGAGATGGGGGGATCACTTACAGTCACTTCTTTCTGGGATATATTTGCCTCTTGTCCAGCCAATGCAACACACTGATCTACATCATCTGGAAGCAAGTTCTGCTTCAGGCCTGCTATGAAAACACTGTCTGCTCACAGCACTGAAAAGACTACAACAAATGCATGTAAGATACTGGTACCATATGACTTATGGCTTACATTTTTCAAGATCTTGGTGCTTAGAGGTCCTAGACATCATGGAGGGATGTATGTAGGATGATGTTGCATATTGGAGAGTGCAGTGAAGATGATGAAAATTTTACTGGGTGACTTCCAAAATAGGGTACTACTATCAAAGGGTTGAGCCACCCTTTGATAGTAGTACCCTATTTTGGAAGTCACCCAGTAAAATTTTCATCATCTTCACTGCACTCTCCAATATGCAACATCATCCTACATACATCCCTCCATGATGTCTAGGACCTCTAAGCACCAAGATCTTGAAAAATGTAAGCCATAAGTCATATGGTACCAGTATCTTACATGCATTTGTTGTAGTCTTTTCAGTGCTGTGAGCAGACAGTGTTTTCATAGCAGGCCTGAAGCAGAACTTGCTTCCAGATGATGTAGATCAGTGTGTTGCATTGGCTGGACAAGAGGCAAATATATCCCAGAAAGAAGTGACTGTAAGTGATCCCCCCATCTCTACTTATTTTATCATTGGCTCTGTATTTAGATTACTGATTTTTGGCACCTTGCCAGCCATCATAAACAGCTTGTTCCCCTGCAGCTCACCTGGGCTGTGCATTCATGCAAGAAGGAGAAAGGGGATCAGAGCACTATTCACCTTGCAAAGCATTCAGTGGTGAGTGGTAATCTGTATAACTACAGTCATTGGTGGTCACTAAATAAATTTCCAGGCCAGAGATCTCAGTCTGCAGGATGCTGCTGTACCATTAGATCAAGTGGTTGGGCAGAACCCTGATATTGCTGTTGTATGCCATGACCATTACATTGACACTGACCACAAGTCCCCATACAAGAGGGGTAGGGTCCTTGTTGATGCAAGTAATGAAGACTTGTGTCCAAGTAATGTGCCTTCAGTCATTGTCCCAGCTCCTGGTGAGGACTGGTATACAGTGGCTCCAGAGCAAAGTGCAATCTTTGTCAACAGTGAAGGTGAGTGATTTACATTACATTTAAGCCTGTACTAACACATGATTTTGACCATCCATGGTAGGTGAAATTGAACTGGCTGTTATCTGTGGGTGCTCTGGTGGGCACCTTGATGTACTTGAGTGTGTGAATGTGGTCATATCAGAGGCTGTCAATGACCATAAGGGTGTTCATGTATGTTGCATGTTACCTGCTATCTCATGGTCTGACACACCCTTCTTTCTAGCCTACCCATGGGGGAGAGATGATCCAGTATGGGTGGAATGCTGGGGCTTGTCACCTGCATGTATTTGGATTGGTAAAAAATTTGAAGGATAAGAAGCTCACAGACAATGAGTGTCATGAGAAGAATGGGCAATCTTGGGTATCCTTGCACTGACATGGAACCTTCTGATCAGGACTCTGCCAGAGGAAGTGGTAGCACCAACTAAGGCTGCCATTGCATCCTCAGGCTTGCCACCCATGGCAAGTGAGTGTGATATCAAAGGTATGTGGAGACTTTCCCACTTGATATTGTGCTAACTCTGAAACACTTAGAATGTGGTTACTACTTGGACCTCCCTGTTGGCTGTCTCAACTTTGGAAGTGCTGACCAAGCACCAGCTGAGGCATACATGAGTCAGAATTATACTGTGTATGTGGTGCATATTTGTCTCCCACAATACACATCTGAAATTGGCCAGTCCTATCCACACAGATCAGTTGTATGCACCCTATGCATTCAACTGGGTCACTGAGCACAGGGTCTGTAACAGCAAGATTGCAGAAACCAGTGCTAGGTCAGATCAAAGTGGTCACCCAACTGGAGGTAACTATGTAGATTTCTCTCTCTGAGTTATTGTTTGCTGTGCATCTGACACTGCCATGGTATTGTCTCCACCATTCTCTTAGTATGTTCTTAGTAGTTAATTTATCTTCTAGTGTGTCCAACCAAAGTTCCAGCATGGGACAACTCTAGCTTGGCCTGGTGTCTGGTGTCAGGGGACAGCCATCAATTTCTCCACACACATCAAGGCTGCCTATGATGCTGCTGTCCAGGCAGGGGGGATTGAGTTACTTTGTGGTTGAGTTTGAGGTGGAAGGTAGCTACATAGAAAATTATTTTTCTACTCTCCTGTCTCTTCAAATCACTTGTGGAGCTATGTTTCACTGTCTAGCCTCTTTCCAAATCCTGATCATTACAATGTATCATAATAGCCCTGTACAGAAGTGATGGCTCCATAAGTGAGGTTTTCCTTGACATCAAGCCCACCACTTTCCACCACCTCACCAACAAACTGCCCCTTGCACTCTAGGTTGAGACCATCAGGATTCTTCTGCTCACCAATGAATTGCACTAAAGAGTTGAGGGGAAGGGGATTGCATGGGTGCAACAACTGATGTGCAATTTTCTGCCACCAGAAGCAAGCCCAGATATCCTTACAGTTTGAATGCTGGGAAGTGGTACAGAGTGACAAGGGAGGAAAGGAGAGTCCAGGTGGAACAGCAGCAATAATATGTCTCTCCATGTCCAAAGCTTCATGTGCTTTCACAATGATTGAGTAGACATGAATACCTAGGCAGTATGCTTTGTCCTCAGTGATAGCTGATAAGGGGTTGAGCAGCAAGAGGCAAACAGAGGGGGGAATCCACTGTGGAATAGTATACTTGCATGCCAATTCAAGCTTGTGACAGCTGAAAGGTTCAGCTGGTTGAGGTGAGCAATTTCCCAGTTGATACTGTTATCAATCTGCCAGAGCTGTGACACCTTCAAAATTGCCACAAGGGATGGCAGGTTCCTGTCATGGTGAACAGAGCCACTGAAATACAGGATTATCAGTGTAATTCCATGCTGGCCTGTTATGTACATGTAGGGTTACTTACACATGATACATCCATGATATGAAGTGCTCAAATTCTCCACCTGAGATTCCTGGAAGTTTAATGGGGTGCTCTTCATCCACACCATCATTCACAACCCCAGATGGGAGTGTGAAGATACCCTCCAGAGTGGGAGAGTGGACAAACAGTGCCCCCCTATGAAGGCAAAAGAGAGCATTGTCTGCCTGTTATCAATCTGATCAGCAGCAGTGATAACAATGACCATGATCAAATAGCACACCTGAAACACAATATTTCCATCTGTAAACCAATACTTTGGGTGCTTCTGTAGGGATGCCATTGACTGTAGTTGGATCAATGGGTTATCAGTAGGACTATAAGAGAAGATGGAGCCTTTGGTCACACCTGTGCTCATCAGCAAGAAACTGATTACATAATCAGCACTGTGGCCTCTCATGCTTGCATCAGTTCTGACTGACCAAGTCCTTACTGCCTGGCACTACAACACTCAAACTGCACCCACTGTCATGGTCCTTCCTAACCTCCCTACTAGTAATACAGCACCTTCCACTACCTGGCCTGCACAAGTACTCCAGGCAGCTGACAAGCTGGCACAGATCTATGACCAAGCCAAAAGGGCTTTACAGGCACAAAGTGAGGTTCTCCAGCTCCAATACCACAGTGGCCAGATTAACCATGAGGCCATTCCAATCCTGCATGCATTGGAAAACATGGCAAACCAGGGAGAAGTCCCACTGGAATGGGTGTTGGAGTGTGCAGCAAGGTTTGACATTTTACTTCAGGAACTGGAGAGTGCACAACAAGCTGCAACAGGACAGTGAGTACTGAAAAACTATACTTCATACACACTGAACACCACTGCCTACAGTGATTCACTTCCAGTTAGTTACATAAGGCCTGTGGATGTTTTGCATACCTGAAGGCCAGGTTGCCCTTGCAAGCAGCCAAATATTGCCATTTTACAGGCTGCTATGTCTTCAGGGCATCACATACCCCTATCCAACCCATCCCATGCTCTTGGAATTCACTGGCATACTTTGTGCTATTATATGCAGAAGTTTGGCATTGATTATCAGCATACTCCAATCTCAAATTCTGAGCTTGACACTCTCATCCAACAGTTCTGAGCTTCCTGTCCCCAGTCAGGATTACATTACATCACTGGGTCATTGTGCAAACATGGCTTGCAGATACAGTGAAGGCAAATTACTGCATCCCTGCATTGGGTGGATCCTTCAGGCCATGTCTTTCAGTTGTGAACAGCTACTCACCATCACAAATACAAAGTATCTCACCCAAATGCCCTCTGGCACATGGATGGTCACCACAAGCTTATGCACTGGGGAATAGTTATCCATGGTATCATTGATGGATACTGCTGCACAGTGAGTGAATCCTCTAGGTAGTGCTGTAGCATACTAAAATCTACTAATCCCCTCAAGGTTGTTGGATTGGAGGCTCATACTAGCAACCAATCATCTACTGTGATGGCAACATTCCTAAATGCAGTTGAAAAGTATGGACTGCCTTCCCATGTGCATGGAGATCATGGAGGGGAGAATAAAGAGGTTTTGGTGTTCATGATCATGACCAGGGGGCTGAACCAAGGTAGTTTCATGTGGGGAATGTGAGTGCATACATTCACATGATTCATTGACTTTACCACCTGTGTACAGATCCAAGCAGAATACACACATAGAGCAACTCTGGCATGAAGTTGGTACATGCTTTGCACAACCATGGAGGGTCTTTTTCTATCAATTGGAGCATGAGCACCATTTTGACTGATCCAGCCACCACCACCTGTGGCTCCTGCATTACCTTTTCCTTCCAGATATCAGGGCAGACTGTGCCTCATTTTGTGAGGAGTGGAATGCTCACCCAATCTCAGGTGAAGGTCATGACCAGAGCCCAAATGTGAGTGCAGTAATATAGCTATGCTCTGATGACCACCAAATATTGACATAAACACTGGAAGGACATGCATTTCATGAGGCAGCTAGAGCATGGAATATATCTCCAGAATGACATACAACTCCACCCCAATGTCATTTCTCACTACTATGGCCTGCAACACCAAGGCAATGGTTCTACCCCAGGCCATCTGGCTGAACAGGATGATGAATGGGAGGATGTGGTAGAGGACAGTGATGCTGCTACCCAGAATTCTGATCTTCCTTCTATGATTGCAGCTGATCAAGCACCTGAATTTGCCAATGATGGTGCCCCAGTTCCCAAAGGAATCAGCCCATTTCCCTCACCTGCATGGCAAGAAGTGTTTCATCTGTCCATGCAACAAGTACAGGAAATCAGACATATTCCAATTGGATATGGGATCAGGGAAGAGGAGTGGGATGGGGAAGGCTATCCAGAGTTGGAGACCATTCCCTCAGGATGCCATGGCCAAAAGGAAATTATAGTTGAGCTTCCAGAATTTATCTGGAGACCACAAGCTCTTAGGTGGTGTCAGGCCATGGAAGTTCTCATCCATGTACTTGAAACTGCTAACTAAATGTCTGTACAGTAGGATGTGTTACCTGCATGCTCATGCTGATTACTACTGCATTTTTGACTTAGTGTTTCTGCAATTCCACTATGTGATGGGAATTTTCATGAAAACTGACATTTCGTCTGCAACTACACTTTCGTTTCTTCCACCAACAACCAATTCACATTCTCCCACTTTCATTCACTACTACATTCCTTTAATATTCTTTCTCTCCCTTTTTACTATCATGGCCAGAAAGTGACTCCATAAAAGACCTCCCTCCTCCTTCTCTGAAAGCTCTGCCCAGCCATCCAGCAGTCAGCCACCCTCAGGCTCTGGGCTTGTTGCCTCTGTGCTACAGAAAGTACTGTCTTGCCCAAGCATCCCTGCTAACATAGCCTCCTCCTCCCAGCCAACATATGCCCCAGCCCCACTGCAGCTGGGAATGCCATCCTACAGGCAAGCAGACCTTGAGTCAAACAGAGGACTGAAGGGAAAGTCCAGGGCAGTCAGTGCACAGACAGCACAGACTGGAAGGGTGAGTCCTCTGTTCTCTATCAGAATTACTGCATTATAAGCCTACCTTACAGAACTGACAAGTGAACATGAAAAGCCCTGAATTTTTCATAAGCTGAATTGTCTTCCTTCCTCATGGCACTGCAGAGGTGAGTGCCTTCCCCCAGATTGAGAGTTAATACCTAATGCATGCATAGCCTGAAGATAGTGGCCATATGGAGGACTCAGGTTCCACCTCTGGTCCCCTGCTCACACACCTTTTCCTGGTCATTCACTGCTCAAGAGCCCCTTCAGCTTCAGACCTTACTAGGCTTGAAGCACTCAGGCTGGCCCATGCAAACTTTCAGGATTACTTTCAATTCAATTGTGACTGGTCCTTCTCACAGGTAGACAGCTACCTTCATTCATTATTTCCCACTCTCTTTGCATACCTTGACTCCCAACTTCAGGCAAGCTGCCCCCTTGTCCAACCCCCAACATTCTGTCATGCTAATCACATTCTAGACCACCAACCCAGGCTACAGCAGTCTACAGGCCTCCTGTTACCAATACCTTCCACCCTACCACCTCTGTGTCAAGAGTCACAAGGAGGTGGCCATTGCCAGTGGAGCTGATTTTCCTGATGGTGAGCTCATATATGCTAAGGTGTGAGCATGAAAGTGACCCTCCCATGAGGACAGCAAGCTTTTTCTCAGTGAGTGGTGCCATCACCCATGATAGTTTCCTGATAAACTTACCTGGCTTATGCTAGAAACTCACCACAAAATCCCTTACACAGTCCTGGAACAGTGGAAACCTTGCCCTGTGACAAAATTGGCTTCTAAGGCTGCTGGCAAGAGAAAGGCAATTGTCCTGTCAGACACCAAGTCAGATGATACTGATTTCACATTGAGAGTTGCTGATCCTGATGGGGAACTCAATACCCCTCTATCCTTTACTCAGCACCCATCAAAGTGATTGTGAGTCACAGGTAAGGTCAGTCCTGTACACATGCTAGCCTACTGACTGACACTCTCCCAATGGTGCAGAAACACCACCAGCATTTACTGAATCCAGTGTTCACACTAGTCATGATGCTGGTATGGAGGCAACTATGGGTACACCACAGCCACCATCACCAGACTCTCCCCTACCTGCTATGACTGTACCAGCAACCCCTGAGGCAGAGTCTGCCCCTCATCCTCCCAACTCAAGTTCCTTCACTATTGATGATTCTATTGCCAATCCCTGGAAAGCCCATTGCACTTTCAAGTTCTGATCCTGACTTACATATGCTGCCTATCCACCCATCCACCTACTCACTGTGCTATGACCCTCACATATTATACCCCTGATGATCCTTTTTCATGCTACATACACACACAGATCATACCATGCTATGAAGGTGCATGTCTATTGCAATAGTAAATAGCCTTATATAGTTGCCATTTAATATAAACTTTCAGTGTTAAAAATGGCTTGTGTGTTGCTAACTTCACATGTATAGTCAGGCATTGGGCAACATACACACAGAGCCCTGAGAAATTTTATGTAGGGGTATATTTAGCTGCAATATGTATACATAAAGGTTGTCCAAATGGTCCAGTGGTTAGGTGTGTGGCCCCTGTTGTGATACAGTGCAGGACCTGCCATCACATGACTGCAGGCTGTGGTTTGAATCCCTGTGGTAGCACAAATGCTGCACACCTTCACTAGACTTTGCAGGCACATTTTGTTAGAACTTTTTTACATTTTTCTTCTTCTAGTAAAATGTAACAATTTATTTATGCACTACTAGTAGATTATCTTCATGGGTCATAGGCAATAAACATTCAATGGTATGGTGTGGTGCATATGACGCTGCATCTGTAACATTAAACAAACAAAAATAAAACAGCTGATTGTGTGACTTTTGCAGTAATGCAAAGAAAATTTGCAGGTGGCTGTGCCCACAGCTACTGACTAAGCAGGGCATGTGCATGGGGGAGCGAGTGAGTCAGGACTACATGCACTCCTTGCCCATTCCTTGGGACTCATTTCAATGCTACTGTACATAACCCATGTAATAATGGGTATTTTGCCAAGAAATGGGCCCAAATTCACTAGGCCAGTGATGACTTGTGGCATGGAGTGTGGTCACATGAATTTGCAGGTGGCGATGCTGTGGGAATTTCCTGAAGGAGCAATCCCACCACCAGGTGGGAGGGGTGGGGGAGGGGGTTGAGCATTCGAGCAGGCCCTGTGGGGCATCACAGCCTCATGGATTGGGCAGGATGACTGGGGAGGGTGCTGATGAACTGTGTTCATGTCCTGCCTACGTTTATCTATTTTATCCACCCTCCTAGCTAGTGCAAAGTGGTACAAGGTGGTTGTGTTAAAAATTATGCAAGGGTAGTATAAAAAGTTGCACAGGAGCAGTGCTGCAAAAGTCGCACAATCAGCTGTTTTATTTTTGTTTGTTTAATGTTACAGATGCAGCATCATAGGTGCGATGTGTGCTTACATAATCAACTTTGGTTGCGGGACACAAAAATCTCATTTGTCCCGCACATGACTTTATTTGTCCCGCACAAATAAATAAATTCCCAGCACTAGTGGTTTATTCCCGACGTCAAATAATTTTTGTACACATGTAACGTCATACTATAATAGGTAGCTGCTGACTTGAGTGATGGGCATCTGGGAAACAGCTACACGATGCGGCTGTTAACAGCTCTTCCGCGCTTGAGCGAGCTCTCTCATTGGCCAACAAGTGTCTTAGCGAGTCTTATGACAAGTCACTTCCAAACGGAGGCAGGTATAACCTGCTCACTCCCTCGGGTAGTTTTGCAGATGGGGGGACTGTGCGGAACGCACCAAAGGTTGAAGATGGGGAGGAGAGGCCTGGCAGAAGGGGGAGATACAATTCTTCCAATTTTCAAGTGTTAGCAACAAGTCCTGATTCCTGAAGAGCTCCTGCTGCGGTCTGTACATGAGGGTAACTTTCGGCGCTGAGCGAAGCCGAGGAGGGGCGAACGGAGTGGCCTCAAGTGACCTCCCGGAATTTGCTAGAGGGCGAGGAAAAGTGAGTGGGTTTAAGCAACGTTATCGGCGACGATAGCATTATATTGAATCTCACACTCCAAGCCGCCCAATACCAAACTAAATCAACTCCCAGCCACCAGCACTGTCCACTTCGTATTGGTCCCGCGGCGTACAGACTTTGCGAACATGTACCGTACAGTGTTCGCACCCGTGCTTAGACTTGCAGCCTCCTAAATGAGTCGTTGGCATCCAGTATTTTTTTTCCAACTATGTCTCAGACGTTTCGCGGACGACATACCGAGGCCAAGGACCATAGGAAAGGCAGTGCTACTACAGAAACGGCGCCGCTGCTGTCATAACCGTCCGTGATGGATGTCAAACTTGAGGCAGACGCTTCGATACGTAGTGGACCGTGCTGTGGCTCGGGGCGATGCAACTGAGTCCCAATCATACAAATGCAGTCCTCGCGTTTTAAAAACGGACTGGCTTTCTCCACTTGCCTTTACCCCTCAGCGAGTTCGTTAACGAGTTCCCTTATACAAGTGACACAAGCAACATGGGCATCCCGGGCGGGTTCGGTGAAGACCTTTCTTAGTCAAATGCGGTCTTATGATTGTCTGCTCATTCGTTCCCGTTAGGTTCTATTCTCATCGGGGGTTTGATCGCCACCATGTGTGTATTGCCATGCTTGATCTTGTCATGTCTGCCCTTCTCATGACCTTATTCCTCGTCAGGTTATATGGCATAACAACTCTCCAGGGATGTCTTAAACGGAATATTCCACTTGGTGCTCTACTTACAGGTTGAATAGACCTACGTGTACTTCATGCATTACTCTGAGGATGGGTTGACCATGAAGTTTCTGGTTGCTGCCACGTGGTGAGTTAGGCTACCTTGTGGTAGTCATTGTATCTGCTCATGTGAAGTGAGGTTTTTCGATACGCTACATGTCTCGCTCGGTGAGTATTCGATGCGCCCAAGTGAATGCGTGGCTAACGTGCGATAGTGTGTCATATGTTGTATTATTACCTGGTGAAACGGACCTGTCTGTTCCTTGTAACCTTCGCGCTCAATCGTTGCAGATTACCAATTACGGCGTTCCAACGAGTTTGGAATATCTCGTCTGGTATGCACGCCTTCCCATTTCAAGGCTGCGTTCCACTAATGAAATATGGCAGGCCATTCCCTGTACGCAAATAGGAATTTCTGGTGCACAACGTGCTGATGTACTTTGTTTTCCCCCTTAGGCATCGATTCTGGTGAACGTGCGTTCCTTTGATCTCTAGAACATTCATTAGTGGACTTAGCTGTATTACAGTCAGTTGTGGTTTCTGCAGTTCAATGGTAAGTGACTATCTTTACTGAGTTGGCAGTTATAAACCGGATGCCACCAGCTTCTTCGCATACAAAATATATCACCGTACGTCACATTCAACTTGCCTCTCAGGACATTATTGATCGACGCTCAGTTTGTCGCTCTCAACTGAAGTGGTTAGTGACTGCCGCAATTGTGAGCACATTGGCTTGTGATGGCAAAGGTATGATCTAGTGACACACTGATAGATACTATTCGTGCTTGCCCACTTTGGTGAGTCTTTGATTGTATCCACGAGACATTTCTAATGATATTTCAACAGTGTTTGGCGTAGGTTCGTGCACTCTTCCATCACAGCAGACCTATTCTAATCAAGAAGCAGAGACGGCTGCTTTGATGTACTTCAACGTGTCCTACCATCTCCACAGAAATGTTGACAGTCACGTATAGACTCGCCGATAACGCCTTCAGCTCTGTTTCGCAGATTAGGGTAGTTCCGTTAACAGTAAATTTGCTTTACCAGCTCACGGGTCGTTATTCCCAGTTTTACAGCATAATACCCTCCGTGGCCTCCCTTGCACTAGCCGAGGTTCTAATTACGGTGTCACTTTGCGTACTTTTCTACGAAGGAGGTTCTCGCTCCACAATTCGAAGGTGCCTCTAGACCACTTCGATGGTTCGTCCCTAATGAACCCTACATAGCACAAAGCGTCTCCTGAACACGCTTATTATCTATGCTGTTAATCGGTGTTTGCTGACTTTGTAAGCTAATCCATCTTTTGGTTTGTAACCGTGACTTGATTCAGGCTTTTCGTTCCAGACTAGTCGCCGTTGCAGAGGTAGTCACGGTAAGTATGACGTATTGTACTATGACTATATTGCTCTCACACTTCCTTCAGGATGCTGAGGCCCAGGACGCATGGTCAATAGGGATGGACTTCATCATTGGAAAACGTCAGTCTTTCTTGCGGTGCACGCGATAGACAGAACACCCCGTCTTACTATTGAATAGTATATGCCAACTCGCTTCTAGCATCGTTGAACACTCGGCAATACCTTCGTTCCCAGGATTCACTTATCGAGTCAGATCAGCGCATTAGTACTGTCCGCTTCGCCAACCTGCCTGAGCTTTCGGATGACGTAGAGAGTTCGAAGGATGGAGGGAAACATATCGATGTGCGCGAAGCGGCGGTTATCAATATCTCTGCCGGTCCGGCACGTGGCAAGACCACAGCGCTGTGAAGAGAAGGAGAATTGTGATACTGATGGTGCCATCCTGTATCCGCTACCTAGTCTTTTCACCACAAGACCGAGCCGTGTCGTGTTGATGCGAAATATCACCTACATACGTGCGCGACGCTCTTCTCGCCTGATGAGACTACCGAAGGGCTATAATTTATGGTATCGTGCTCCCTAGGGCTAATGCTATGGTTCGTTTGGCGTTCCCTAGCGTATCCATAGTACTATGTCATTCGTATCAATCGATGGCAGTAGAAAGGCGTCCCATGATATCTACCGGCTTGACAAGTCCGTTATCACCTCGCTTATCAAAGACTATGAGGCCACGGCCGAGGCGCAGCCTCTGTATCCTGAGTGCTTCTTACAGTGGAAAGGACATCGTGGTCCCGTGGATTCAATTTGCTGTTATCATTTCTTGGGGTACCGGTGTCGCCCGAGGACTCCGGCAGATCGGATAGGCGGATGGTGTTGGTGAAAAAATCAAGGTCCCCGGAATTCCTACTCCGTCGAACGAAATTGCGACTGTTGAGGGATGCCAAAAGTGAGTTGGCGTACACTAGGAACGGTCGTAAGTCGTGAAACTCAGTCGAGTGCTAGTCAGAGGGCTTACATTTTCCGATGGTGAAATCAACCGCCATAAACCACGAGTTCTCCGGGTTAACCCACCACTGGAGGGATATATCAACAACGCTGAGTAATGGAAAAACCTTTGCGTACCAAAACTACTTCTGCAATAGCAACTAACCTGCAAGTACATCTAATTGACGAGAAGGTTTTACAGCACCAGTGGAAACTCACGAGGTCAGTAGACACCGGTTGATGGCGTAGATTATGAGAATGTTAATGAGTTGCTTCGTCCTAAATATTCGTCAGCAGTATGATGGGGCTGATGTGAGTCGGGGCACCTTGGGAATATGGTGAGGGAGCTGTTTTCCCGTAGAAAGAAACAAAGTGCTACGGCAATGAAAATATCGGATACGACGAGGGCCGCACCGAAGGGCGTCACTGCATAATACTACGAGCAGTGGGGTGAGTCGTTGCGTACATTCATCATGCAGCAATGGGGACTACCGTAAGTTGCGCAAGTGAACTCAATTGCTTCTTGATGAACCTATATGCAGTCAATACACTGATTCAGAGGGAGGGAAGGGCCGCACATCAAAACCACAGTTTCTAGCTCTGATCAGAGGAATGACAGTGCGATAGGAGAATGAGCGTACCTAAGCCGAAGCCTTCATCGGCGATCACATCAACTTGTCGATCTGGTAATCGAATTCTCAAACTCACCAAGATGAAGCAGTACGGTGATGATCTATTGCGACGTGTAAGATCTTTAGTCGAAGTCAGTATGAATAATGTCACTTACGATAGGCACGGTCACCAGCCATCTGAGACGAGGGCGGCAAACTTAATTCTAACATTACTGCTACTCTCGGTACACAAAGAAAATGGCACATACGATAGAATATCTTGACTGTGAAGAAGCTGGGGACCAAAGACACGTCATATTCTAACATCGGCACGGTTGGTAAAAGACTTACGCCTGGACTGCGCACGCAATAGTTAACTACGCGCACCTGAAGTTAGTCAAACAACATGTGTTTTGTGGCAGACTTACGTTGACGGCCACCGAAGCCTACGGAGATGACATAAGAAATGGATATGTTATGCAGTGCGACCTTCTCCATCTTAGAACTGGATGCTTACGAATAACGACCTATCACAGCAGGAAGTAACGATGTTTATTGGAGTGAATGTTGCACATACCATACACCATAAGCCAGGGAGGTCACAACACCGTAACTTGATACCTGTAGTGCCATCATGCAAAAAGCGGCGTTGTGCAACGTGTTGGACGCACTAAGTAGTAATACAATGCATGACACACTGGATCAAATGTTAACCCACGGTAGCAACCTACGAAGTGACGAACTTACTGAGGGTGATATGTGCGGTATCCAAAGCCCTAAGAGATCATAAGCGTGTTTATCGCCGTACTCAAAATGAGGCAGCTCACCAAATCGCAACCACAAATAGCTTCGTGGGGACATCATCATTCGGATAGTTCATGAAATATAGATAGGTCTGAAATATTGTCGGTCGAAATACTGATATCCAAATGTTTGCTTCAGACTGACCTGTAGTGTCGTGATTCCGTATAGACTTGGCATATGACACAGCGAATTAGCAAGAAATGTGGTCAGAAACAAGTAGAACATACACTAGAGTGACCATGCCCCCGATAAACGCGGCGCCTAAACAAGGGCATTTGAGTCGGTGGTGCAATCCATAACCATGAAATATCGTCACCCCATGTGTTTGTAAGGTCTATAGAGGCCATTCTGCCTTACAGTAAATGCGCGGGGGAACAGCTTCGAACGTCCAGTCCTTGCTGATGTGATGACGTGAGCGGGTAGACGAGCGCAAGTGATGGAGTGCCTGGTCCGAGATATATACGACGCTGGCACTGCCGCACTCTCGGGCAGGCGCCGCACCTATTGTGAATTCCGGAAGCTGAGCCCGTGAACGTGTGTTTCTTGGGCAGTGCAATTCGTGCTCGAGGCAATTATGTATCACCCAGAAGCCATGGTTCCCATCAGGAGTCCTAATATATATATAAAATAACAGCGCCTACCTGCACCGCTTTCATCGAACTTGGAATCCCACGTTGAGGGCCTCGGAGTTCTCGATATTCCAAGCCGAAAAGCCGACCTGGTGCATACCAAAGGCCAGGTGACTCGAATGCCATCAAACGTGGGGTATGGTTGGAGGTGTGGGGCCTCTGAAAAAGTAACAGGTCTGCTGACGCATGTGTGAGGCAAGGTGCAACTCGTGACGCCCACTGTTCGCTAATAGTACACGAGTACACAAGCCGCACTCTTGGTTCATCTCAGCTATGATGGAGCGTGAACAAATGAACACATGCTCACATGACGAGAAGATCCAGTGCCAAGAATTGGGTCCACGCTTTCGTCGGGGACAATACCTGTGAGCCACTGTTTTATGGTTGAAGTAATGCTACTGCTGCGGGATTGGAAGGTCATGTAAGTGGAGGAATGGGACTCACGATACCCAAATTTGCGCCGCAATAATACAGTGAACCGTGCCAATACCTGAAGCTCTGAGAGGAAATGCCGCTAACCAGGGGTGCATGGAACAAATCGGGCTCCACGAGGAATATAGAATGGCAGGGGTGGTAGTGGGTCGTGCTTCCTGTATCTAGCGAAATCCAAATATGGTCAGACTGTAGTACAACCAGCAGATCCATACCGGGGTAAGCTGTGTCTCGCCTTCACTCCTCTTAAAACCCGAAGAACACACCATGAGAACGGAGTGCCTATTACGAATAATTAAAACAGCTGCGCGTTGGCTACAGAAGGCAAGAAGGAACGCTAGGAGACTCAGGAAGAGAATCTGATGATCAGGTGAGCAAGAGCCACATCGAGAGCGAAGGGCTTGGCGCATGCATGGTACACTGAAGTCGCTGGAGCGCCAGCCAAGCAAGGTTGATGCCCGGACACTTGGCTTCTCTCTCGAGGACGCCAACCTGATCGCCGCAAGCGATGCCTGTCATTGCACCCTGCACATATTAATGGCCCCTCGTACTGATTTGGACTACTCGCGGTGATGGTCAGGGTGGATAGTGGTACCGAGTTGCCAAAACATTCACACAGTGGATGTCCATCAAGAAAGATAAAAACTTTTGCGATCCAACGTCATGGCAGATTCTTTGACAGTGCTCCGACTTTCCAATAATGCCTTATACAGTCTTTACAATCCGTGTGGCAAGCCGCTTAATACAGTTGTCCTTTCGTCCACCTTGCGAGGGTTGTTTTAGCTTGGGTTCATCATTCTTTCATGCCATGCACACAGTTGCTGGACTATCGTTACCTCAGCGGTGGAGTAGTTCGAGTGCAGTTGTCGGACATCGCCCTGGCGTATAGGGGCTATTTATCCTTTTTTATTTTCCACGCAAGTGCAAACTGTTACTGGCGACGGCAGTGCGCGAACAAATTGAACCACTCGTTCGCGTTCGATGAGCCTTTGCGCACTCACCCATGCGACGAGGCTACCGCTTATTAGGTTTGGGTGTTTCCGTCTCTCTACTCTATCTCCCGGTCAAAAGCTAGATCCGAAGGCGTTCTCCAAGACTCTCCTTCTCCCCAAGACCTCATTTCCGCTCTGGCCAGACCCCTCGAAAACAGAGCTTCCGTTTCGGAAGAAGACATGTGATGACCTCTACCGTTGGCAGGCACGCATTTCTTTTGGATGTTGCTCCCATTCCGCTGATGTCCACCCCGAACAGGTACGACACGGCCGCGGTCCGCTCTTCGTGTTACACGATGGCCCTCCATATGCAAACGGTCATCTCCACATTGGTGCGACTTACCACCTTAATGTACAGCACGTAATTGATAGACTCTTTGTTAGGACATGCCTTGAACAAGATACTGAAGGATATCATTAACCGATACCATGTTTCTATTGGCGATCGTGTCCAGTCAGTATTCTTACCTCCGCGCGTTGTCCTTATTTCTAATTTGTGTTAAGTTACGTCCCCGGGTGGGATTGTCATGGCCTTCCGATTGAAAATAAAGCTTTGCAGGACCTCAAGGTACGTTTCACTCAATACAGGCTCGCATGTTCAATATATGAGCCATGTAGGGAGATCCACACACACTCGCTCCTGATACAATTCGCAACGCTGCTAGAGCAACCGCTGAACGCGAGATGTTAACGCAACAAGAGGAATTCAAGCAATTTGGCATAATGGCAGAATGGAGCCCAGGATCTACCTACCGTACCCTTGGTAAGTGCGAAAGGAGAGATTGGCACTGGGCAGCACCGGTCCTAATCACTCTGTGTTAGACCATGCATATGAGATGCGTCAATTGCGAGTCTTTCAACAGATGGTTTCCAAGGGTAAATTACCTGCACCTCGATTACGTCTCCACAACTAATTGTGACTGCCTCTACAGGTCTCATATACAGACACTACCGTCCGGTGTATTACTCCCCTTCATCACGTTCCGCACTAGCAGAAGCAGAATTGGTATATAAGGATGACCACGTATCCCATGCAGTTTATGTCTCATTCACGGTGGATGCTATGGGTGATCTACCTAGTTTGGCAGGGAGGTTGGCATCCTCGAATGCGAGGGAGGAGGTGATGGGAGAGCTGCGACGGGGAATGGTAAAGTTCCTGGTGTGGACAACTACGCCGTGGACTCTCACAGCAAACATGGTAGGTTTCTGCCCTGCAGACTACTAGAACGCTGGATCGTGACATTTTGATAGGGAATTGCCGTACACTCTGATCTCACTTATGTCGTTGCCCGCAGTCAGCGTCACCGCGGTCTGTTCATCCTTGCAAAGGAGAGATTAGCGGCACTTGAACGTATCCTTGGATCTTACAGTGAAATCAAGGTTATATCTGAGATACCAGGCAGCCAACTTGTCGGGCTCAGATATCGCGGCATATTTTCATTACCGTCTGCTCGTGATGTTGTTTCAGTATGTTCTAATCCTGGTTCTCCAGCACCGGCACTCCTTCCAAGTTATCTCCGCTGCACATGTGACACCGGACACAGGGAACTGGTCTAGTTCACTGTGCACCAGCACATGGTGCAGATGATTATCAAGTATTCCGTGCGCAAGGGCCTGCTTGATTCTGGACTGTTGTGCCATGTTGACGGGGAGGGTAAGTTCTCGGGTAACGTCAGGGATATCGTATCTGGGATCGAGGGAGGCGAAGATTTAGTGGGTCTCGAGGTGCTGAAAGGTGGATCTAAGGCGATTGTTGCATTGCTAGAACGCACCGGATCGTTATTGTCCGTCGAGAGATTCCGTCACAGATACCCCTACGATTGGAAGACCAACGAGCCAGTTATCGTAACGTGAGTATCGACTTGCTTTTCCTAAGTGTAATTCCCGAATTGTTGCACAGGGCAACTTCGCAGTGGTTCGCAAATTTGGACGATATCAAGGAGGATGCTTTGGCTGCTCTCGACAACGTCGCTTTTTACCCACCAAGCTGTACGTTGACTTATTGCTATGTCTTCACCAATTCGCTTACGTGCTATGTAGCTCAAAACCGCCTCACCTCTTTCGTTCGCTCTCGTTCTGAATGGTGCATCTCTCGCCAACGTGTCTGGGGAGTTCCGATTCCGGCTCTGCATCACATACCGAGTGGTGCTTCAATTCTCACAGCGTCGTCTCTTACCCATATCCTTGGTGTCCTGGATCGTAAGGGTGTGGGCTATTGGTGGGATGGACCCGTCTCCGAGTTTGTGAGCCCTGAATTAGTTGAACAATATGGCGGGGAGGTCAGTGGGCGGACGTGGCGCAAGAGCACTGACACCATGGATGTCTGGTTCGATAGCGGAACAAGCTGGACTATGCTTCCGTTCGGAGAAGAGCACGAGAGGACGCACCGTGCAGATGTATGCCTTGAGGGGTCCGACCAACACCGAGGGTGGTTCCAGAGCCAGCTGTTGACTGCTGTAGGTATCCAGCAACGCCAGCAGAGAAAAGGCAGCAAGTCCGTATGGGACGCTGATAACACATGGGATGGTACTTGATGAGAGCGGGCGAAAGATGAGCAAGTCCCTGGGGAACGTGGATCAGCCCCTTGATAGTTATCAATGGCGGGGTGGTGCGCATAACGCTCTTATCAGATCTCTCAATTTAGGAATACTCATGCAAAAGCTTGCAGGACAAGAAGAAGCAACCCGCGTTTGGTACGGACTGTCCTCCGGCTGTGGGCGGCGACTGTCGAGTATTGGCGGGACATGTCCATCGGTCCGACAGTACTCGTGCAGACCGCTGAATCGATGAGGAAGATCCGCAACTCAGCGAGGTTCATACTCGGGAATATTGGTGCAACAAAGCGAAAAATGAGGGATCAAGGGTTGGAAACCCTTCCTCCCATCGCGAAGGAGAATCTTGGCTTGGTATGTAGTCTGCTTTTCCTTGCTAATATCGCAATGGGCTGCATGGTTTTGGACCATTCACACGCAGGCCGAGCGGTACGTTATGAACGAAACTATACAAGTTGGAGCACAACTGCCCTTCAGGGGTACGCGACGTACAACTTTCCGCGAGGTACGCCACTTGAAAGGTCTTCGACATATTCTCATTATTTTCCTATGGTGTAGTGATGACTGCATTGGTGAACTTTTCTAACTATTACACTCTCGTCACTCTATTTCGATATCACGAAAGGACGTGTTGTATGCCAACGATATCTGTAGTGTCGAAAGGCGCGCCGTTGTTGATACCTTGGAGAGGGCAAGTCCCCGTTCTTTGCAACGGAAGGCAGTGCGCGCTAACACAGATCTAGATCCTGCGGACTATGACATCCGTGTTGGCCCCTGTGCTTCCACACTTGGCGGAGGAAATTCATGGCCAACATGCAGAGGATGCACGATTGTCATTCTTCACTCAGAAATGGACTCCATTGGTGAGACATCCTCAGCGCTGCTGTTGGTCAGGCTGACGGAATGGGGGTGGAAACAGAGCGCCGAATGGAGTGATTGTCTGGCAGAAAAAGATATGGAGAGCCTGTTAGGAGTCCGCAGTGTCGTGTTGACGCTCCTTGAAAGAGCGCGTGGTGATAAGTATGTCGTCGCTAAGCGGGTTCGAACAGCAAAAGGAACTGAAAAAATGATGTGTAGAAATCTCAAGAGTGCCCTAGAAGCTAAGGTCACCATTACTCTGCCCTCCGATACGAATACCGAACTAGTCCAGTTGCTGAAGCGAGAAGGTATGTGGTTGGCACGATATCTCTGCCGCCCGAAGTTGATGATCATCGTCAGCGTCTTTCTTGAAGACGCTGTTTATCGTCTCTGATGTCGAGTTGCTAGATGCTGGCAGCTGCGGCCCTGCCTCTGCATTATGGTCATATAGTGAAACCATGAAAATTCCCGGTATGTTGTAACCAGTGAAATCCCCTCATTATCGTCATCTGATGCGGGGGACTAGGAACACCAGATGCAGCGCTCATCGTCCGAGTTGTACCCGCCACGTTGGGTAAATGTCCCCGGTGCTGGACGTATACTCGACCCGAACATAAGGAACTGTGCGCCCGCTGTCAGGACGTTGTCAAGCTCTGAAGAGGGCGACTTGAAAGTACCTATAATATTGTGTACAGTGACTCCTAATACACCTGCGCTGTGATCGTTGCTCCGCAAACATCCATCTACCACTTTCCGCGACCATGCGCGTGACGCCGGCAACCTTGAAAACGACAAATCTTGTTGGATACGGTATACTCACGCGCGTTGGAAGAAGCCCAACGATAGGTGTATCATTGAGACCCGGAGTGCCAGCCAAATATGTCCACCGACGTCAGCAGATCCAAGAAAGTTCGTCAACGCTGGCTCACAGTTGATCAGACCACAATTGCCAGTGGTACAATTACCGAACCTTAACATAGACAACGATGGCAAAGAAAGCGCTTGTTCTTGTTGCGGATGGCACAGAGGAGATGGAGTTGTCAGTTTGCCTTTCGCGTCGCCCCTAGGGATGGGCTGACCTCCTCGCAGCACAATCACTTATGATACACTCGTCCGCGCAGGCGTAGAATGTACGTCTGCGAACGTTCAGTCCGGTGGATCTCCGTACGGGACAGTAGGTACGAGCCCTGCGCTGGTGGTGTGCTCGCGAGGCATCAAGATTTTGCCCGATACTACATTGCAGCCCCTCGAGGCTGGGCCGGTATGGAAGAGCTCATAAAATCACGTAGAATATCCTAAACGCACTTAGGACAAGTACGATGCCCTCGTTATCCCCGGCGGACTCAAAGGTTCTGAGACGCTCTCTCAGTCGACGGAGGTGCAGACCCTTGTAAGGGAGTATTTCAACGCAGGAAAGATCGTTGCCATGATCTGTGCTGGTGAGTCTTCCTGGCCTGCGTCCCTATCCTGAACTCAAGTCCGCTTGGTATCATAATAGGTACTCTGGCTGCCAAGACGGCAGGTCTGCCCCATCAACCGGTGACGTCACACCCGGTCGTGCAGGACGTTTTGACTCAGGGTGAGTAGTACCTTTACGGAGGTTTTCGTTCGTTCGTTCAGCAGAGTGGTGTAGCGTTCAAGTACGAGGAAGGTTCCGTTGTTGTTTCGGACAAGGTGGAGGGTAAGGGAACTCTGGTGACTAGGTACGTGTACATTCCATGTCGGACAAAGCTACGCGTCCACGGCTGAGATCGCATTGTCTCCGTCTAGCCGAGGTCCAGGTGAGTTATCGTGACATATCTGCGAGCCGTGTGGGGTGAACGACTCATCGTGGACGATGGCAGGTACCGCTTTCCCGTTTGCGTTCAAGTTGGTCGAGCTGTTGTGCGGGAAGGAAAAGAGCGACGAGGTTCTGGGACCTATGATGTTTCCTCCGTCTGTCCCGTACCCGTACTGACCGTTGAGTTTACGATGGTGAATGGTGATCAAGTCGTGTACTACCGCCGTGTCTGTAGTTTTGTAGTAGCAGTGTGGTTTACGTGTATCCTCGTCGTCAGTTTGACAGCAATTTTTCGTCTGTCTTCAACCAGCATCTAGTAGGACGTCGCATGCGAGCTGTTCAGCACGCCGTGCGACGCATCCATGGACTACATTCGTGGTCAACAAGGGTGGTGGTCCTCCAGCGACGCGCTGGCTTGAATCTAACAGCACATTTCGGGAACGAGTCATATCCAAACCTTGTCAGAGCACTACACAACTTGAGTCGGTCCATCAAACCTGCTACATCGTCCTACAACCCAACTCTTAGCAGCAGGATGGCAGCCTCTCTCGAGTCCATCATGGCCTCGTTGGCTAATTTCTCGATCGCTCCAGCTGCGAGCGTTACGCATGCAGAAACAAACTCGCCGGCGACATGGCGTGAGGCTTTGCAATCAGCGACGCCCACACCACCCTCGTTCGAACTTATCAAGACGCTCGTTTACAAGCCAAAGACAGCGAAAACTGCCGTGCCCGTGCCAGTTGTCGTGATCGCGCGCGATGACACAGAAACCAGCTCATCGGCCCTCGCAAAGAAGCTCGGTCTCAAGGAACTCAGGACTCGCGTCAGAGGAACTTCTTGATGAGTTCTTTAAACTCGATAAAAACTCTCGTGCGTAACGCTGCAGTTATCTGGATATAGCGATGTACTTAGATCTCGCCCCCCCACCACTCTTTTCTTGCTTGTACGGTCATTGGCAACCCATCGTTACCCAGTTTCACTCCTTGCTCTCGACAAGGAGTCGTTCCCAAAGGTGGCCACCGTGGTCGATAGCTCGATCGCATCTACACCAGATACCGCCTACGCCGTTCATGCGCTGTCTTCGAGCTCGACCATCTTCCTGTCTGGCAAAGATATTCTCGCATACCTGAAGAGCCTCGAGACCGACGAGCTCAAGGTTCAAGAAGTCGATTTTGCAGCGCTCAAAACGGAACAATCTACCTGCTGCCCCTGTCTGTGGTGCTAACACGGCGAAATCGGGTGCGAGGGAAAGGGAGGATCCCAAGATCGAGGGTGCCGTCAAGATTGCTATTGGTGTCAAGAAAGAAGTGGACTTTTCGGCTTGGTATCAAAACGTACGTTTAATCCTCACGAACGGGCTGAATAATTCACGTCGCCGCTGTAGGTTTTGCTCAAGGCGGACATGTTGGAGTATTACAGTGTCAGCGGATGCTATATCCTTCGTCCCTGGTCATACAGCATCTGGGAGGAGATCCAGGGTAGATCCTTGATGATTTTCCATTCTGTTTACTGAAACTTTGCGAGCAGATTGGTTTAACAAACATATCAAGGCTATTGGGGTACAGAACGTGTATTTCCCCATGTTCGTCTCGGCGAAGGTGCTGGAACGAGAAAAAGATCATATCGAAGGTTTCTCTCCAGAGGTCGCGTGGGTCACGCGAGCGTGAGTCTCATGCAGTACTTATCAGCCGTCCGATGCATTGACCAGGGCCCATTAGTGGTTCTTCTGAGCTCGAAGAACCCATCGCTATCCGTCCGACCTCCGAAACGGTCATGTACCCTTGTAGGTATTCCCACGCGGGATTGCATCCTGAGGTTAATCACAACCATCACTTAGATTACGCTAAATGGATCAAGAGTCACCGAGATTTGCCCCTGAAGCTCAATCAGTGGAACAACGTCGTGCGATGGGAGTTCAAGCATCCTCGTAAGGTTTTTTAATGGAGTTACTATGAATCGACTGACAGAGTACTGATAGAGCCTTTCTTGCGCACTCGCGAGTACCTCTGGCAAGAAGGACATACCGCCCACCTGACCAAGGCAGAGGCAGACAAAGAAGTGCTCTATATTCTTGAGCTTTACAGGCGCGTATACGAGGAATTGCTCGCTGTACCCATGATCAAGGGTGTCAAATCCGAGAAAGAAAAGTTTGCGGGTGCGCTCTACACGACCACCGTCGAGGGCTTCATTCCTGCGAGCGGGCGAGGTATCCAAGCCGGAACTTCGCATTGCCTTGGACAGAACTTTTCGCGTCCTGAGATGTTCAACATTGTGGTAGAAGACCCGAACGATCCTAGTGGCCAGGGCAAGTTGTATGCATGGCAGAACTCGTGGGGCTTGTCCACACGTACGATCGGTGTGATGGTGATGGTCCACGGAGATAATCAGGGACTCGTTCTCCCCCCGCGGGTCGCATGCGTGCAGGTCGTCGTCGTTCCGTGTGGAATCACGGCAAAGGCAAGTGACGCTGAAAGGAACAAGATCAATGAAGCTTGCGACGAGCTCGCCAAGTCGCTTGTAGATATCGGAGTCAGAGCCAAGGCTGACTTGAGGGAGGGTTATACCCCCGGTTACAAATTTAACGACTGGGAACAAAAGGTGAGGTTTAGGTCTGTCGATGTGACGGGTGGCGCCCCCTGTGTATCGAGTGCTAAATTCTTAATTTGTATTTGTTCTGTTCGGCCTAGGGAGTTCCGTTGCGGCTTGAAATCGGACCGAATGATCTTGTCAAACAGCAAACGGTGTCGGTCCGCCGTGACACGGGTGCGAAAGCGCCCATTCCCCTATCGGAGCTCAAGACAACTGTGCCAACATTGCTGGATACAATTCACAAGGACATGTACACGAAAGCGTTGAACGAGTATAACTCCCGACTGAAGGAGGTGACTCGTTGGGAGGACTTCGTTCCTACGCTGGATAACAAGTGCATCGCGGTGATACCATGGTGTGAGGAGGAAGCATGTGAAGATGACATTAAAGAAAGGAGTGCCAGATCGTAAGTTGTTGTCCCTATTTTAGAGGGGACACAATTTGACCGTCTGATCTCGTGATGTGATACTAATTGTACCCCTACGGAACATACAGTGCCGAGCCGCAAGATGAGCGGGCTCCGTCTGCAGGAGCGAAATCGCTGGCGATTCCATTTGATCAAGATCGGTTCACCCCTCTCGAGCCTGGAAAGACAAGGTGTGTTGGATGCGGAAAGGATGCAAAGCGCTGGACGATGTTTGGGAGGTCCTACTAGACGAATATCCCATGGCTATTAAAACTCCCTGTTGTCCGGGAAACGTTTCTTCTGTCTTTATAAATTGGAACTCCTTGTGTGGGCCAGCGGCGGAGCTTCGAACCCGGCAATATAACCCCGTGGGGGCGCGGCAATGTTTTGCCAGTTATGATAAGTTCGTATGGGACGCGAGCATTTCGCGTGAACCGTACGTGGATTCGATGGGCGACGTGCCAGCGTGTATATACCCTGCTGGGACGGGTAATGTCCGGTATTACCAACAGCGGGAACATATCCGAGCGCTCGCGGCGACGAGGGGGATAGTAAGGGACCCATATGATCCTGTCACATCCCCATGTGCTTCCCCCCCTCTGGAGGGAATGAGGAGTCCAATCATATGACTGATCCCCTCTGGTGTCAACCCCTCAACGACACCTATAAGAACGAGAATTTCTCTGCGAGCTTGCCTCGGTGACTCTTCTTCCACTGACCATCACCATCACCTCCCTCCAACTTGAAGAGTCCACAGTCGCTTCATCATGAGTGTAAGTGTCTCCCACATCGACTTACACGTCCTCTCACCTACTTGCACACAGTACAACAAGCGGATTGCCGCAAACCCCGTGCGTCCACAATTTCCCCTTCTTTGCACCCCCCGTCTCACCCTGCCTAGTATATTGTAGGGACGTTCGCATGTATTGGAGGGGGGTTATTCGGATTAGACATCTCGTCTATGTCCGGCGTCTTGAGTGTAAGTAGTCCCATGCTATCTATTTTCCTCTCAAGTCTGAAAACGTGTTCCAGAACCCCGCATACCTCAAGACCTTTCACAATGTATGCCACTCTGCTACTTCTCCTTCCCCTGTGTTTAACCCCTTTCCATCAATACTAGCCCGGTTCAAATGCGCAGGGTGCTATCGTAGCATCCATGCCGGCTGGTTCTCTTCTCGGTGCACTCCTGGTTACAAAACTTGCCGACTCGCTGGGCCGCAAGAAGACCATCATCCTAGCCAGTCTTATCTGGGTTATCGGTGCTATACTGCAATGTGCTTCGGTGGTATGTTGTTCATTCACCATGAGGTCGATTGTCTTCTTAGTGTACCTATCAATCAGGACCGTGGTATGCTCGTGGTTGGCCGTATCATCGCTGGTATCTCCGTCGGTATCTCCTCCGCCATCGTACCGGTCTACCAATCAGAGATCACCGCTCCCGCCATTCGTGGTCGCCTGGTTTCCTTCCAGCAGTGGTCGATCACTTGGGGAATCCTGTTGCAATACTTTGTCCAGTTTGGATGCTCCTACATCAATGGCACTGCCTCGTTCCGTATCCCATGGGGGCTCCAAATGATACCTGCCATCATTCTTGGCATCGGCATGACATGGTTCCCTGAATCACCACGTTGGTTGGTGGATCACGACAGGTGAACCCCCTCATATGCGCTCTAGCCCAGAACGTTACTGACTCGTGTTTATAGGGAACAAGAAGCATTGCAGATTCTCGCCGATCTCCACGGTGGTGGAAATAAACAGGACGAACTTGTCGTTCTCGAGTTTGAAGAAATCAAGCAACAGGTATACTTTGAACGGAACGAGGGTGCCAAGTCTTACATGGACCTCTTCAAACCTGGTGTCTTCCGTCGTGTTATCCTCGGTTGTTCTCTTCAAATGTGGTCCCAGCTGTCCGGCATGAATGTCATGATGTATTACATCATCTACGTTTTCCAGGGCGCTGGTTTGACCGGTCGTCGTGGCAACCTGATCGCCGACTCCGTGCAATACATTCTCAACGTACTCTTCACAGGTTAGTCGTTCTTGAAATTAACGCCAGTTTGTGATCGTGGCTGATGGGCACGTAGTCCCCGCTATCTGGTATATCGACAAGTGGGGCCGCCGCTGGATGCTAATTCTTGGATCGTTCTTTATGGGCGTTTTCCTTTCCCTCGTCGGTGGTCTCCAAGGCGGATTCGGCGAATGGGGGGTTGTCGATAATTCGTCTGTGTGGGTCATCAATAACCATCCAGCCGTCACGAGGGCTATCATCGTCTGCTCGTATTTGTTCGTATGCTCTTTCGCGATCACGATGGGCCCGGCGTCGTGGACGTATCCTGCAGAGATCTTCCCGATGCGCGTGCGTGGTAAGGCCGTCTCGATCTCCACGGCGACCAACTGGATGTTCAACTTTGCCCTCGCATGGGCAGTCCCACCGGCACTGAGCTCCATTGCATGGAAGACATACTTTATCTTTGCCGCGTTCAACTTTGCTGCTACAATCCACTTCACTTTCTGCTTCCCGGAGACGGCGCAACGTACCCTGGAAGAAATCGAGGAGGTATTCGCACAAGGACATGCATTCGCCGCCTGGAAGATCAAAAGAAATGTTGGAAGGAAGAACTTGCACGAAGTTCTTGCCGAAAAGGGTGATAGGCACTCGCTGCAGGCCAAGGAGAGTGCTTGATGAATACTTTCCTGTCTTTTTTTTTCCTGCGACTTGAATAGTGTATTTTTGTTTTTCCTATTGAATCTAGCTGGTGTAATGCGATAAGTACATTCCCGCATGGGCCGGTGAGGCGAACGCACTTTTGGCTGACCGTCTTCCTGCATAAGGTTTTTCAGGAACAAACCTCATGTAGAGACCTGCTACCATGATCAGAAATATCAACGGCGCCGGCCCGTAATGCTAGGAACGAATGCAGGGACTTGTAGACGCGGACAAGAACTCACCAAAATGAGTTTGCACCGACCATATGAGTTGTGATTGTATTGTAGCGTTGGATAACGGTCCCATCATCACAAGGCATATGGACCCACGATGGGTATCTCACTTCACGGCGACAAATTGAATTGCCTATCAGTAACGCTCTGTTCACAAGCCAATTGCAAAGTCGCCGTACGGTAATGTATCCAAGAGACTCGTTTACCTTGAACTGCGCCAGCAACGTTTAACTGCGGAAGGTCTTCACGAACCCGTTTCTGGAGGTGCACCTCCAGACTTGATATGAGACGTCGGAAAAGGATGATGGTATCAGATAAATGAAAGTGGCTTAACCATCCAGATTTCGAGATCCGTAAGGCCTTCAAACCTCTCCTATAGTAGTGCATTTTGTGTGCGTTTGGGAGAATCTCTCTTCGTCATCACGGAAAATCTGACGCTTTGCAAGTCGGACGGTATCACCACACATGCTGCTTTTATACGCTCGTTGGATCTTCCTGTAGCTGGTAAAAACATTTTCTTTTCCCGGTTAGAACGCGTATGATATTCACTACCGAATCATTCACATACCACGAAGTGACCAAGGATATCACTGGCACGACAGGAACCGCGCATCGAGGATTAATAGAACGCCGACGGGTAACGCTCAAGAGGACGACAGGAAACTTGCATTTTTTACATGGTGATCAGTGTGGTAAATCAGAGAGCTATTGATTGTAGTGTGTACGGACGTCGATATGGGCTAAGGGGCGGTCCTTGACGCCCCCAGGCAAGGATACATACATAGGTGAAGTAGCAGTTCACAGATGGCTGGCTCGGCGGGCACTTCTGTGGAAAGGTAGAAACTAGTTGAGCAAGCTGATATGTGCGGTAGGGTAAACCTGTGATCTGATTGGATGAGCGGTACACGCGTATGTCGCCTGACCGCCACCTACATACACGCCAAGATCGACGGTCGAGTATATATTCCCCTCATACATGCTCAAGAACTGGCATATCTCTCTGATATTACTAGACGTCTTTCTTTTGGATCCTTGAGTCGGGTCTCAAGACATTCTCTGTGTCTAAAAAAGTATTTGCAGATTGTAATATCCTAGGTATTGCACCAACCACGGAAACCAAAGATTCTAGAGACGATGCGCGACATGCAAGCTGAGCAGTCCACATCTGCATCCCCGCCCACCGGACAATCGTCGATATGGCACGCGATCCGTCCATGGACACCCCACTTGACGCTTGCCGTCCGAGAGATTACGTCCGTGTCGGTGACATTCATACTCTCTTCGGTTCTCGATACTCGCGTTTCCGCCGCCAATGCTACAGATGGAGCTGAGGCGGAGCAGACCCTCGACCAGGTATCATCATCTACATCTGGGTCTGCATCCGTCGTCACAGCCACCTCTTCTACTGCCGTCTCTCCTGAGGACTCCCATCGACCTGTCCTCGCAGACGTACTCACCCAAGAACTCAGCGTAGATGTGAATGGGTCTAGTTGGAAACACTTCATCCTGCACATGCCGGATGCCGCCGACGAAGCGATCGTGCTCATCTACGGCCTCCACCCTGGCAGGCAGTACGATATTGACATTGCGCTCGTGGGCGGGGGCGTTGTTGGAAGGCGAATGGTCGTCACCAGTGACGGTGAGTTTGCCAGTTATATCTACGAGAAGATTTTAAGGTTTGTTGCAGCTACTGAATCGGGGGGTGTTGGGGAAAGCAGTGAGGAAAACAGTGCCATTTCTGTCGACCGGGATGTAAACGGTACAACAGAAGAGGTTACGACGACAGATACGATAATGCCTCCTATGGTCGGTTCGCTCCCGATCTCAGGGACGACCTTTGCCCCTTCACCTGCTCCGTCATCCCCTGTATCCCACTCACCCTCCCCCAGCACGACGCCCACTCCGACGACCCTTGCACAGACCCACGAAGATCGACTCCGCACGCTTTCAAGTACACTTTCTGCGTTGAACGAAGAGCAAGCTACCCTTCAGTCTTTGCTTAAATCTACAAGGAGGGACGCACAAAAAACGTCCGCGACGCTGAGAAACGAGGTAGATATCCTACGGCGTGCATCAGAAAAGGCGATTGTCGCGGAGGGAAAGGCGAGGCAACGCGTCAGGGCGCTAGAGGATGCAGTCAAGAAGGCAAACGAAGGTAGGGAGGAGATCGAATGGGAGATCGAACAAAATGAGAGTGCCACGCCTGCCGTAAGAGAAAGAGAGGCAAAGGCAGAGGAGGAACTGAAGAGAGTCAAGGCAGAGGCAGACGGAGTAAGACTCGAGAGGGAGAAAAAGGAAGAGGGCGAAAGGAGGCGGAAGGAGAGCATGAGGGCTGAGTCTGTCAGCTTGACGCAGAGGACAGAGAGGTTGAGCGTGAAAAGAGAAAGACTGGAGGGGTCTATTATTCCGGACCTCGAAGCGCAGCTGGCGGAAATCGAGCGCAAGATTGAATTGGTGGAGATGGGAGGAAGGCAGCACCAAGCAGATGAAAGTTGGGATGGTGACACCAAGGGCAAGTCACAACGGCGGAAGTCACATCCGGGAACGATCGGACGTTCAAGGTCGAATACGACGCAGAAGCCCGCTCCTACCACACAGGTTAATAGTCCACCCACCCAAATGCCTCGACACCTACCGCGGTCACAGTCGACGTATCATAAAGGTCTAGATGGTGGGCTATCTGGACTGGCATCCCCTCCAGGGTTCAGTTTTCAGAGCGGACTCAAACATACGCCTATTTCATCAATCCACACAACATCCGCCGTCCCTATGAGTTCTGGGTTGGGCCAGTCGAGCAATTTGGTATTCAGTACATCCTCCTCGATGGCATCTTCGTTATCACGGCCTACCGGTTCTGCAGTGTCATCCACTTTGTCCAGCAAAGCACCCCCTTTTGAACCAACGCGCAATCTGCGTGCATCCTTCCCACTACCTCATTCGACGACGAACGTGCTCTCTGGAAGCGCGTTCCCCTTCTGTACAGAACAAAACACATTTGGGCCTTTATCGTCTGCGACAGCCAACACATACCAATTCGGCACGAATGGGTCTATGACAAACCTAAACGCTGGGACTTTCGTGGCTTCCCCCACCTCGCTAGTTTTTTCAAGCAGTCCATCAGGGGGCGGGACACTTCCAACACCTATACAACGCCCGACCCATACTTCAGGGTCTGCTTCCAGTTCCGGTTCTCAGAACCCGGCCTCGGTCACTGCGCAATTGCTAAGATTGGGGAGGCCTGCACCAGTGACGTTACCCAAGACGGCGAACGGAGAGAACAAGGCGCGGACGTCGTCGAGCGGGTAGTTGAAATCTAGCATACATAATTTGATGTTAATTATTACAAGAAATTGCAATTTACGACCAATGTTCCGCGTGGAACTTAACATATAAGTGTGGGGGCTAACTAGGCACGCAGTTACATGCTGGAAGTGAAGATGAATAATAGTTTGTGTGGCGTCACCTATGACCTCGGAGGTTGGCGCTGCTGTGTATCCAGCCTGGCAAGCTGGTGTACTAGGTCGTCCACCGTGCCAACCTGACCATGGCCATTGTTAGCGCCATCCACAGATCGCCCAGCTGAGGGCTGCTGCTCCCTGGCCGCGTCGTTACCGGTACTGTTGGTGTCGGAGTTGACACGGACGGGCATTAGGACGGCGCCATTTCCCTCGAAGCCTGGTGCAACCCTCCTGAGCGCCTCACGTTTTCTGCGCTGCCTCTCGTCGTCGCGCGCACGGAGAAGAGCCTCTCGACGTGCTTCATGTGCTGCGATGGTGTTCCGCCGAGAAGATTCAAGCGCGAGGACATGGGATTCTAGAGTGAATGGATAAACGAACTGGCAAGATTGATCACGGGGTCATTTCTTGGTAGTCAGGGTTGTTGTACTCACGTACGGTGTCACACTGTCTGGAAGCGGGTGGATGTCAGGGGGTAGTTGGACCTGTGGATATTATTTAGGAAGGATTCCTGTGGTATGGGTGGGCTTACAGGTGGAGGGACCCGCAGAGCTGGTGATTTTATGAGCGGTACATTGGCTGCGGCGGCGTATTGGGATTGCATCGCTATCCAATGAGGCGATACTCCAGATTCAGGCGTTCGTCGATGGTTGAAGAAACTTGAAAGACTCACAAAGATCTGTCATTGACTGGTTGGTTGTAGAGACTCACAAAAGGTCGACAAGATGTGGAGTGGCTTCCGCAATCAGCAATACTACAGAGGTGCGTGCGTGTACACGCCGAGCAAGAGTCCGCCAATACCACAAACGCCCATCAACAATTCTAATACTCGTCAAATTCTTTTTCGGCAGAGAAACATCCAGTGTAAGTCGGCGAAACTATCGCCAAGGTAGGGACGTCTATAATTACCGGTAGCAGATTTCAAGAATGTGCGGAGATCTCCTTCATGAAGCAGCCCCTATACAGGTTTATCCAACCGAAACACGATGGACCGCTCATAGCGGCCGCCGGCTCCAAGTGCCTGTCATCTAACTGACAATGATCGGTGACCAGGGACAAGGTTTTTTTCCCCAGATACATTATATCCCACCCGCCAAGAGTGTCCTTTTGTCAACTCCAAGCTCCGGTCCTCAGCGCTACGGTAGCCGTCTTAGACCAACCGGGCGAACTATCGACGGATATGTTCCCCTGCGCTCCTGTCCAGAAGCGCAGGCGTTGTCTGTGGCACCTGCCTCAAAAAAACCTCCCGTTGGAAGGCAGCTGCGGTTTTTATTCCCCACTCAGGAGTACGCATTACCGTTTGGAGCCTCTTTTCATTCACAGAACCGGCTAATATTATATGCCGCGTGCTGTAGGCTGCTCTTTGCCTACTGGATAGAGGTCGACGACTTCTATGCGTCCTTCGATTGATCTTAACCAGATACTTCGCAAGGTCAGTGCAACGTTTTTTCATGGCTCCGACTCGGGACTCGTTGCCAATGAGCCTGGCACATGCACATGGGGAGGATAAGCCCATCATAAAACGTAAGGTGTACGGACTTTACCATCTGGGGGTGTGGATTTTTGGGAGTGTCGCCACGTTATCGTTCCAGTATTGCTGCATTCTGGACAAACTTGCCTTACTTCTGGTCTACTTTCTCTAGATATGTCTTCGGAGGATTCCTTATCTTTACTAGTGCTTTGCGTCTGACGTCCACCCAACATCCGCAAGGTGATTAGAACTTAATTCTTCCTTCCCTGTTGCACTAGAAGCTGCCGTTGTGTGACCCCTAACCCTTGTTTGCAAGGTGGGCTGCTGTCTTAAGTTCAATCTCCATGATACTGAACACTCGACAGTAAAATGGGGTGCCTCTAGGGCAGTTATGTGTCAACGATTGCCTTTTCTGCTACGTAGTGGTAGTTCTTGCGTTAGGTTATACTCGTAGGTTAATATCGTTCGTTCCTGTTCCCATGTTACGGCCATTAATGAAGAAATATCTGTTGTTCAAATAGGAAGTGCGACCCAACCTATTGTAGACCATGGGATTGCGCTTTTTTTGCAGCGTCCACTGCGATAGGTTGTTGTCATTTTTCTTTCTCCCAAATCACCATTACTCCCCTTTCCACTCAAAATGCTAAGCTTCTGAATAAATCACTGCGTACTCCTAAGGGCAGGTGTGCCCATCGCTTTGGAAATTGCAGCAGGAATTCCGGATGTGACCTAGCAAGTAGCAACACATAATGCGGGGATAGCATCGGTCCACCCACTATCCTGAAAGCATCCTGAAAGTATTCTTGCTGCCGCTGCGTTGGCCATGTCTACGATGAACACGCCCTCTCTTTTCATTCTCTTTCAACTCTTTCAGTGGTTCCTCGCCACCTCGTTCCAAGGTCGCACCCAACAATTCTACCCCCTTTCTTGCACCTTTTTTCTTAGTAGGTCTTGGCTGGTCCACAGTTCCAGACGATGAAGGTATAAAACTCATCTCCATCCCACCGACTGCACTGGTCTTGACGTCCGCGGACTTCCCGGTATCTGTAGTCGTCTGTCGGGAAGCCAAGCGCTGACCGAAAGTTGCATCTTTGTTGCCCAGTTTTGCCACCGCTGCATTCACATGAGGAACAAGCGGAACAAGCTTGATGTTAGGAGTCCGTCGGCGATTTGCCTCGCGGGTTCGCGCGTGTTGTTGTTCAGCGCGTGCATTTTTCTGTCCAGGTCTAGTTCGAGGATCGAATTTAGTGAGCTCTGCAGAGTAGAGCATTAGCCACGGTGCCCAAATACACGGTGTTATAAACGAACCTCCGGCGTCAGAGCTATCTTCACTACTCTCATCCTCTGTACTTTCACTGAGACCATCAGAGGAAGATTCGTGGCTCTCCTCTTCTTCCTCTTCCACAACTGTCTTGGCCGATTCAGCTCCGCTTCTCTTTTGTGCAGCTGCCGAAGGATTGAGGAGAGCAAACTCTCTGCTGTACTCATCTACAGCAAACTCGGGATTCTCGAACAGCTCTTTGAAGCGAGGATCATTAAGAAGTGTCACCGGTTGCTCATCGATTAGTTCGTCATCTACAGCCATAGCGTCATCCACTTCTTCGCCTGCTTGTTTGACCTTCCTGGCTCGCTTCTTTTCCTTCTTCGTTTTTTCCTTCTCCGCATCTTTTTGGATCTTTTGTGCCAGGGCTTTGTTGACTTTAACCGCAGCGGCAGCGGCATCCTTGCGAGTGCGAATTCTCGAGTCGGCCAACTTATCCATGCGCTCCTTGATAAGTTTTTCGCGATGTTCGGCATATGCGAATGGATTAGCAATGACGCGCGCAGTATCGTAAAGTTTAAGAGACAGGAAGTAGCCGTGCATGTACGGTTTCAGCACAGGTGTTCCAATTAGATGATCCAGGCCAAGTCTATAGACATATTAGGCATGAACATAGTCTCTGGTAAATGAAATGGTCAACTTACGCCTGCAATTCGTTCCGTTCAATGAATTTGTAGTCTTCGTACACGTTCCGTGTACTTTGGTCTTCCATTTCCTCGGTAATGTTCTCCAAGAAAGTTGCCCAGCGTGGCGCTGGTCCCAATTGTGGGATATAATAGGTCGCCATTTGTATACCTTCATTTGCTGTAAGAAGCAGACCGCTTCCGGGGATGTGATGGATGTCATTAAGGTCGGTAGCTGGTGTGATGGACACAAAATTCGATGATGGCTAGAGAAGTCCGTTGGCACGACATTAGCATTCATATATGACTCAATGCTTACTGTATTTCGATCCCATATTTTCACAACTTTTTTGTCTGCGGTGAGAACCATGCCGTCACCTGCCATACGGCTTCCCCCCTCCATCCAGCTAACATTTTTTATGGGTAACCCGTACCCTTGGTCCTTGAAGGCAAATGGTTTAGGCGACCGTATGTCATAAAGGAGTGTATGTCCCGTAGACGTGGCTATAGCGTAGGAAAGACCGTCAGACCTGGACGCAATTGCCGTGACGGCCAAGGATCCAGAATTCGACTCTTCATTGTCAACTCCGGGAAGAGAAACCACGGAACGACCTGTGGACTGCGATATCCGACTTTTAGGAAGGTTGAGCAGCCCAACTCTTGAACGCGAGCGTGGGTCCCAAAATTGCACACTTGGGGAACCATCAATACCGAACGCAAGGAGTTGATGGGCAGGATTTATGTCTATGCAGTTTACGCCTAGAATTGAATCGTCTTCTGAAGAGTCAAGCACTATAGGGTTCAGAAATCGACCCTGTTCCAGATTCAAACGATATATTTCATTGCAAGATGCGGAGACGAGAGCGTCACAAGAGGGGAAGTGGTATGCGAGGGATCGGCCGAAGCGGGGTATTCGCGTACGATAGTGAAACCCGCCTTGCGTGTGCAGTTCGACTGACCTGTCATTTTGGAGGTGTATTGTTTTCGTCCAGTCATCAGAAAGAATCTGTAGTATCTCAGTTAACGCACGGGTACATGGCGCCCACAATGTTCAAAGGGAGGGACTGACCCACTCACAATAAAATCGACATTGTCTGCGTCAGTATGCCGTTCAAACTTCATTGTCAACTCATCCAAATCCCATACCCTCATCTGGGGCTTATATGTCCCTGTTGCGACTGCATGATGGCCGTCTCTGGTAGTCCTGATTTTATGGCTCGCCTCAGGAAATTCGAAGCCCTGTATGAGTTCAACCTGTCCTTCCTCTCTCTCCTTCAAAGCACGTTTTCCTTTTGTTTTCGTTGCACGTTTCCGGGTGATCCAATCAGGGATGGATGACGAAGAACCAGCCACCGCGCCATTGACCGTGTAAACCTTGACATCACCACCGACTGCCACCATGGTGCAGGGACAATCGCGAGATTTTAAGCAGGCCTTATTTGCGTTGGTCGCTGCAATCAATAATATGTAGTAGACGCCAATATTATTGGTGCCCTTGCCACAATTTTTGGCCACGTGACCCGTGGATGAAACCCCTGACTAGCGAAATCGTCTATAGATACTGAACAAAACACGAAGGAAATAACTAGACAAATGGGAGGTAATGCCTGAGCCACCCGTGATGAGAATATGGTACTGGAATCACTGTATATAGCCGGGGATCACAATCCATCACACTACTTCCGCGTCTGAGCGGGAAAGCAGATCACAAGATAGATGGTATGCAAGAGGGAATCAGTAAGTTTTTTTCTTCTCATCCACAGAGAATCCGCCTGAAAAAAAAAATCGTCATTACAAGGTAAAAGTGATAAGCAATGGGATGTCGGCATACCTGGTCCCATATTCACGAGTAGAATGAGACCTCCAACAATGGCTGAACATAACATGAGTGAAAGAAGACATCAAAACTATCAGCTAACTCACACAAAGTTTGGAAGAAGTCGTATCTGAAAGACGAGTGTCAGCGATGGATTACCATAAAAAAGGCCAATCTCACTTGAGGAAGTCGCGTTGTGCGTGTGCGCTGTGCACGCTCCACCAGTTGTTGATGAAAACGTTGAAGATACTGAGAACAATGACTAGGAAAGTGGCGGACCACTTTGCCTTGAACCCAACTGCTACCATAGTGCATGCTGCGAGGCCAAACAATGACGCAACGAAACGGCCAATGCTCCATTCACCTCGAACCATGTACCCAAAGAAAAGGAATATGAGCAACACACGTCCGGCAAGGAGGAAGCTAGAGAAAAATATACAAGTAAGCCCACCAGAAGGACGACAAAGAACTACGGGGACACATACTATTTCTTGCGGTCGGTATCACTTAAACTGGGAAGACCAGCGAAGTGTTTTTGTCTGGACACCATTGTTTCACTAAACACCATCACCAAACCCCCGATCACACTCAAGCTACGCAGGAAGAAATTGAGATCAAAAATGAGACCATAACCAAATCCTTGGACAATGACGACGGCCAAAAGGCCCAAGACAGCATGTTCGGTGAAGCGTTTCGATATGACGGCCGTGGAAGCTCCCAGCATAACCTGCAAGATGCATTAGGTTTTCCGCGCGAACTAAAGACACGCAACACGCACAACGACGTTCAGAATCAGGAACAAGTGAGAGAAACCCCAGTAAAAATGTCTGTGACTATTTCAAAGTCTTTAGCAAGCGGCACGCGAGTTTTCAAAAAAAATACTGACGATTGCAAGTACCAAAGTTGGTCGCGCCATTGCGTGAGAATCCGCAGGGCGTCCTCGTAGAAAGTCACTACAATAAGGAAGCGACCGATGTTGGGCAGGTAGGGCTTCAGGGGTTGGGAGTAAATTTCGACGGTATCCTCGACCTGTTTGCCCACGGCACGGACCCTTTCGAATGGACTATCGGGGTCGGCAGCCCTGTAGCCTGAGGACGGCCGGGGATTAGAGAACCCGTGAGGGTCCGCGTTGTATGTAGCCGTTGCAGGACGCCCGATGTGAATGCGGGAGGTCATTGGAGAAGCTGTTGGATCGAACAAGACTGAAAGCGAAATGCAATGTCGGACGTGGCAAGTTGCACGCCCGTGGGAAAAGTGGGTACCATGTATCACGTGACCACTTCATTTTGACGTGCCTCGAGTTGTGCCGTGCCGACTTATCGAGGCGTTGCAGATTCAATACAGCCAGGCTTGTGACTGTCAACCGTCAACTTGCATGTCGTCGCCGGAGCCAAGGGAGGAGGAAAATTATCTCTAGTAGGTACCCTCGCGACTGCGACGGACGGACATTGACTTAGGTTCCAAGTGCTGTGCTGAACCTTCCACCCACCGCCTCACAGGGTGAAATTAGAGAGCGATATAGGGCTCTGTCAATAACCTTTCACCCCGACAAACAGCACGATTTGCGTACGAAGGAAGTTGCAGCCAAAAAGTTCCTCGAAATCCAGAAGGCTTACGAAGGTAAGTCATGGCGATCGCATGCTGTTCGGAAATTCGGTGGTGTGTTATCTTACCGGGTCCCTCGTTTTCATAGTCCTTTCAGATCCCTTTCTTCGGTGAGTCATGTATTTTTCTATAGTTTCCCCGTTTATACGAGTTTATTTCAACAGTGAGGTTTATGACGTTCTAGGTGAGACCCTCATTCCATCTTTGGTCTACTCGTGGCGTTCCGTGACATTCTGTACGTGCAGGCGCAGAAGGTTTGAATAGGCAGTGGCCAACGGAACTGCGATCCAAGGATAGTGAAGAAGTGCGTTCTCCGATAACCTCAGTGCGAGCTAAACGTTCCAACGAAAAGTCAAAATCAGATCAAGGCAGTTCTTAGGCACTGGAAGATTGATCACAGCAACGAGATTTTGGAAAAGCTTTTACAACCACGGGGGGCGGTGACGTGCGAAGTAAACGCATCGCCACTTTTTGCGAGAGGCGATGAATGTCATGGAGAATCCAGAAACATCAGTAAACGTTTGAGCAACGTCAAAGTTACCGGTTTCGGTGTTCGTCATGGCATTGTGGTAAGATATTTGACGGCATCGTTTGGTTTCATTGGGCAGATGGTGATGTCCCCTTGCTATGTTGTAGAAGGCCATGGGCCCAAAAACTGTTGTTGGAGTCACCTCTGAAGTTCGTCCAGGCTCGCGAGATATCTTCGCTGCTAGGGGGACTTTGACGGGAGCCCTGCGGCACCAGTTTTCTCCGCGATTGGTTTCAGAGGTAATTCCAATTCTTGGACACGTTCTAGCCTCAAAGATCAATGAAATTCATCGCAGTTGACAGCGGCATTCCTAAACCCACACATCATTACTGCGAAGACAACATACAGTGACAACGAAAATGCGGTGTCAGTTCAATCTAACTTTATTCCCGCCGTCTGGCATTTCTTCCCCCCCGTGACCACGGTCTCCTTTGCGCGACGATTGTTCCGCGATTCTTTGACTCAAGGATCAGTCACATGGACGTACTCTCCGGAGCTACCTGGCGGAAATCTCGAATTTAATGTCTATTCTCCCAGAGAGTTCGACCTGGATGAATCTATTTTTGGGGGTCCTGGGTCAACTAGTGGCTTAACCGCTGGAGTGCGGACCTGGTCCTACGGATTAACGTTGGCTGGTCTGAATTCGTGTATCAAAGCTGAATTCTCGCTGCTCTTCAACGAATTGTCTCTCCGCCTCAAAGCTAGTGCAGAAGTAGGTTTCAGAAATGTTGCCTACATCGTATCGGCAAAGTGGATTGGTCATCGAAGTGCATTTGGAACGGGAGTGGGGTTAAGCACCAAAGGGGTGATCTTGAGATTCCAGTGAGTCTGCATGTCTGATCACTGCGGGTGGCCTGACCTTATGTTAGATTAACGTATCTTGAGCAAAAGTGGACCCTCCCGATCACTCTTACGCCAGATTACGATCCGGATCTGGCCTTCTATGCGGTCGTAATTCCCTCGGTTGCACTGGCTTTTGGTTATCAATTCTTCCTAAAGCCGCGCCGTCTGGCCCAACGTGCACGGTACCTGAGCTTTCATTTTGTGTATCATCGACGGCTGAAAAGGAGATGCAGGTACTTTGAGGATGCTCGACGGGCATTGAACGACGAGAAGTCGGAACTTAAGAGGGAGATCGAGACCACAACCTTATTGTTGCAGGATGTTGCAAGACGACGCATGGATGCGGAACGGTCGAGAGCAGGTAAAGTGCACGGGAATACCAAATTCCCTTAGGTTTTCTTACGTTCAAATTGTAGGCCTGATCATTCTCGAAGCCACCTACGGACCGAGTCCGGACAATGAAGCAACGGATTTGGATGTAGATGTGACCGTACCTCTCCAAGCACTCGTTCACAACAGTCAGCTGTACATATCGAGCAAGACCCCCAAGGTAGCGTTTCCTTTCTAATTGAACAGGCCGTCAGCCATTTCACATTCGGCTGATATTTTTGTAGTCAGGCATTCCAGGCTTCCTTGACCCAGCTCCGGCAGCCCCAAAATCGCTGCGTATACGATACTTATTTCGTGATCACACGCACTATGCCGAGATCTCTGACTCGTCGCCAGTTGTCCTTCCCTTGAAAGGTGAGTTCCGCCCGCCGCCGTGGCTGACCCTGCTCACCTGCTGGTACAGACCATTTGGTAATGTAATGTGACCTTTATTGTTGGATACCCTGTTCTTCCCAGCACCTTGGTTGCTCCACATCGTTTACATTCAGGCGTCCGCCTATCGGATGGTTTAATTCCTCTCCCAACTCAATTGGTCTGTGCGCCACAACATGAGCCCGACCGCTCCCCTTCAGTGTTGGCCTCGATATCATACGCCGCTGACGTTCATCTTCGAAACGGCGTATTGGCAAGGATCTGGGGAGCTAGTGCAATAGCAGGACAAACTCTGTGGAGTGGCAAGCACCACGCCAGGGTTGACATGACAAGTGGCGGTCGATCTTCGGGCATATGCCCAGTTGCATGCACACGGCATGGATGGACCCATTGCACGATGGTAGCGGGCCTGGCGCTACACACCACTCCAACGGACAGAATCTTATGCGTGAGGCTGCGTGAGGGTAAAAACGTTCCGCAGGGGACGCTGTCACCCGCGGGAAATAGCAAACCTTTCAACATCAGGATTACGAGTAACAATCTTTTGGCCCAAGCCCGTGCGTGGAGAAATCAGATTTCCAGAAGAAAATTATCGCTCTAAAACTTCCGTGCGTGTCAGTATTTGTGTCGTACGTGTACTTGGACGTCACTGGGGGCGGCCGTGAGCTAGAGAACTGCGTTGCCACGCTTATGAAACTATGAAGGACAGCGAGGTAATCCCCGTGGTCAACCCTGAGTCTGAGCAGCGGGGTGCCCACTGACGCACTGACAGCTGCTAGTTGGTGTGAGTCGTTTTTGATGCCTGCTGTTGGGCTCAAGTGTAGTAGCGGTGACATGTTCGAAAGGTGGCTTGTCGATGGGCGTCCCCTGTCATGCTTGCGCCTGCGTTGGTGTGGCTGAAAAAGGGTCCGAGACGCATTTGGGGGTGACCAAATCTGTCAGGAGGTGGCTTCTGACGGAAACTGCGGCTCTCCACAGATGCTTACCGCAGTGGCAATGAGCAACCTCACTGGACCTGTGGTACTTGGTATCGCTTTGAAGAACCTCTCTGCCTGTGCCGCCCGCCACGGAGCCTTCGGACATTGAATATGTGTCGTGGCCGAAACCTTCGCGGCTCAAATCTCCAGCTACCGCATTGCCAATAATGCGAACGCCTTGAGGTCGACCACGTAGGGCGTCTCAGCCACTGTGACCCCTCTCAAAGCTTGCCTTACAACCTTCCAGCCCAACGATTCATTCGGTTCTGACACCGACTTCGGCTTCATTTTCCCGGAGAAATGCGGTGAGCCAGATTTGGCTGGGTCTCACCAAGAAAGGAAACGGGAGTCCGAAAGCATGTCCCCCTTTTTGGCGGGTGTCTCCGAGTCGAAATTAAACATTTCCCATGGTCGACGCGAGATTAGATCAGGCTTGGATGGGCCTGCATGACATTTTCGAGGCTCGTTACCGGCGGTTCCTGCAGCCCTTACATATACTATTATGGGTCCTTGAAACCTTGCGTTCGTAAGTCAATTCTAGGCGTGTTGTATGGGGACACTTACACTCACGCGAGCACTCCCCGTTGCGTTTCAGCACATGTTTTCCATTGTACACACGTAAAACTTCCCATCGACTAAATGCCTGTGATCTCACCCCAAACGCACCGCTGCATATTCGTTTGCTGTATCCGATCGTGAGTAGTAAATCGATCGTGTAACACGTTGCTCACAGACAAACTTGCCAGGGAACTAACGCCTTATGTGACTGACTCCGTTGCCTGCCAATATTGGTAGTATGTAGCGCTCTGTGGGCCTGCCCGTCATACAGGTACCGAGATGACATTCACAATGCACCAACAATGGCAGTATGGCCTATTACTGCCAACCTATCGCTACTAGTCCCTGACTGACGCCTTCGAGATACGCGGTTATGAGTTGACAGGCTACACGATGCATCGCCCGAAAATTAACCGAATTCAGGGGGGCTGTCGTCCTTAGGTGCTACTGTAGTGTGCACTAGTATGCACATGCCCCAAATGACTTCTCAGGGATCAAACTTTGTTCGAAGGTATCGTCATTCTGGCCTTGCCCTGATGCGATACAGACATATTCTATGGCCTTGCGGTGGCACTCTGACCCTTTTTAGCCGAGAAATAATAAGCGGGGCAGTCTAGGGTCGTTTGGGATCAGGGAATGCAATGGGAGTGTTGAAATAGGAAGCAACGTCACGCCGTGCCGCAACCCGTTGGCATGGAAGAACGTGTGATGGTTATGGAGGGGATTGGGCAGACAATACGCAGGATGTGGTCCGGTTTCTAAGGATGGTCGGGAGGTCGGTGTAGCTGTGGTGCTGCCATTTCATTGCAGGCCGGATCTGCGGGTTCTCCTATCTCGACTTTCCTGTAGCCGAGTGTTGTTGGCCTGGCGGCGCGGCGACGCCACCGGTGGAAATAGATTAATATGTAATTTTTCATTTTGAGCGTAACAGAAAAGGGAAATACCGATCACAGAAAAAAGACGCCGCTCAAATCAGCCCGTGGCGTGTGGCTAACTCAATTATAACTCAAAATAATTCTAATTTTCTTTTGGTCAAACTCCTGTTATGCTAATATGATGGGGATGGAATGGTGCCGCGGTCAGCCAAGACAGATATATATTAGCCAACTCACCGTCCCCTCCTCTTACCACACACCGCTCCCTTCCCACCTTCAGACACCAGTCTACCACCCCCATGCAGCAGCCCACTCTTCGCAACGTCCGGGTGCGGTCCACCAGGGATGCACTCCAGATCTTCTACGCTGTCGCTCGAAAGACCCTGTCTCTTATAACCCGCCGTCTCGATGCTGAGGAACGTCGTGCCATCGTTCCTGGAAACGTGTATGTCTGGGAGGAACGAAGCGCAAACACAGAGGCCACAGGTTTAGGAATGGAAAGATGGTTGGTCCCTTTTTTGGTCCATACACAGGTGCGGCCAACTCACCTCCCCACTACAGGACAGATGGCATGGGCTGGGGTCCCAGCCGAGTTCGCGATGTACGGCACCACAGGTTCCAAATTACACCGCACCGCACAACTGATATGTATCCGTACAGGAGTTCCTGTTTTACCACCAAAAGGAATACGAACTAGGAGATGATTCCAGTAGCGCCGCCACCCCATGGGCGCAAATGATTAGGTGTGTGTTATGCGCCGTATCACTGCTTCTGTTCGGTTACCTCTGCAATACACCGAGAGTTCCTTCGGGCTCTGTCCTGTCTCCACATCTATCATTTTGTCCCTGCGAGCTAACATTTAGTTCGGCAGCATGTACCCCTCACCGCGCTCGCGGACGGCGAGCGAATCAGAGCGTTTAATTAAGCAGACTTACAGCGTTCGCGTCTCTTTGCCGGACGATCGCTCCCGCGGTATTCTGAGAAAATGGCACCTCAGTGGGTCGCTCCTCTCACGGTTAACTCCGCCGTCAATTGAACTAACTTGCACGGTTCACAGCCGCGTACTTTAGCCAACAAAAGCTTGATCGGCTCGATACAGTAGATAACATTCAGGGTGTTGGTGATGTCCCTGTCCCCGATGGATGGTTCCGTAGTGCACGGCGAGACGGAAAGTCCCGAAGAGAAGACGATCTGACCAAATCTGTCGTGGCTAAACGATTATCACAAGCCCCTATGGAAGGCATGATCCCAGCCACGGCGCCCGAGGCATACCATTCCTCGCACTCCTCAATGCCTGTTTATAAACACTTCCCCATGTCGGTAGACACTGCTCATCTGGAAGCATTGGACACTCCTGCCGCACGCAAGACCGCGTATTCTTTGCCGACCTTGGTTGCACCCCCTAACTGCAACTCCACGGGGGTCCGCCAAACCACGTACTCGGTGCCCAATGGATTTACCCTCGGTAGACCGCACCCCCAATACCAAGAATCTCAACTCATGCTTAGCCCCTCTGCTTGTCCGTCGTCGCCGTCGTCGTCATCGTCCTCGCCAGCAACACCAAGTCCCCGATTAAACCCTGATCGGACATCTGACAAGCTTGTGCCTCTTGAGTATCTCCAAAGCCTACCACACCGGCGGAGAGACCCTATCGACGAGCAGCTCCTCCAACGTTTCTCTAATCATGCCACAACTTCTACGACTTTTGCGTCTAAAACTGGTCCTTCCACTTACTCGCACCTTGGCGGGTTCCAGCCCCTTGGCCACCCATGATTTTCCATTTCTTGATTGCAAATTTCTTGGGTTTCTCACTTCGTCACGACATTTATTATAGGTATAATTGGACCTGCATCTGCATGCATGTACATAGGAAATGGACTCGCTGGCATACTGGGAATGCGTTGCATTTTTCTCCCCCCGCTTTTTGAAAGGGCGTATGTGGACTCCACTTATATCCCCTTTTGATTGTACTCTGTTACAACTCCTCTTTGATACCTAGGCTGGAACAAGGATCGCATTGTTTTTATATTCGGATTCATGGCGCTGTTACAAATATGTGGATCAAAGATACATATGTATAACGAACTGATATCTATAATATATTGGACATGAGTATGATCACCACTTGCCAGAGCGAAACTGTGTGAACCGGGCAATCGGGCCGAATCCGTGAATATAGACGTCAACTGTCAGTGTCAAGTCAATCCCAGGGATGAAGCCCTCCGTGGCCGTCGATGCCATGCTCTGGGAACATCTTGTCAGTACTTGTGAGAGACTGCACGCCACCAAAAACACCGCCAACAAATTATACTTCCAGTGGATTCGTACCTGTCTTATCTAATTCCTTTATGTAAGTACGGCGACAGGAAAGGGGAGGTCAGAGACGACTTACTTCGGCGCTTGCAGCAGGGAACTCGATCTGACCCCGCAAGCGTAGGTTGCAGACTCATCGACATCATTCGGAGAGCTCTCAGCTCCGATGTTACTTGACGGACTGGGTAACCGCACCTACCCAACGAAATGCCAAGTTTGCCGTTTCTTAGGAGACGCTCGCCGGAGCTCTTGGATCAACTGTTTCCGCATCCAGGATAGTGAATTCGAATAAGTGTCTACGTGTCACCGCTCATGCGCCATTTTCACGGCTCTCCGCCGGTGGTAAGACGGGCACTGGGCTTAATGCTGCTTATGTTCCGACTTCTCGGGGCCGACTTTCATGGCTTATAGTCTGCACGACGCTAATCAGTGCTATGGTAACGTGGATGACAGGACTTAACCCGAGCGGGTGTATGCTATGCTCTACTTAACGGCGCCGACTGCCATCTGATGTGGGAACTTGTGGGGTCAATGGGCTTTGGACAACTTTTCGGGGCAAGTGAGGGGGAAGGTGCCAAAGTTGGGTTGTACGCTTGGAGCTGACATTCAGAACTTAGAAGAACGCCTGCTGCTGCCGCCGCCGAGTCCACGGCCTTCACTCGCTGATAGATACGCTCCGACGTGCCGAGAAGTCAGCCGTCACATCATTCACATGGGTTCGAACTTTGCGCAGCGCAATGTGGAAAGACGAGTACTCGATACGATCGTGCACAGGAACTTGGTATCGCTGACGAAGACGGCATATCTGCTTCGTTGCTGAGCACTGAGCGCTGACGTACTGTGAACGCGGCATGTATCATTCCCTGGGTTATTGCACAGCTCACCGGACGCCGTTTTCTTTTTCTTTCATTTCTCTTAATCAGCCATCTCCGCGGCCACTGCTATGTTAAACAAGGAGGCGGAAATGTGGTTCAGCCGGACCTACCTTTGGATCGCCCACAGACTGATATACCCAATGTATAAGCTGCTGCTACCCCATGACTGGGCCGACGATCGGATGGATGAACATCAAGTGTATCCCATGATGGTGGGAACAGGCTAAGAAGTAAAGATAGCACCCCCTACTGAAGCCTTCACCGCTTTTGTTGATATGAAGATTCATGCACAGGAAGGGCCTGGTCAAATTCAAAGTACTACTACCGACACCGATCTTGCTTAACGGTAACCTGACAATGGACCGATCAACCTTTCATCTCTCCTGACTGAGCTGGCAACTTGGTCTTGTCTTCATTCTGATTTCTGGCCACTTTTATTGCCCGTTGCAGTGTCTGGGGTCAGGATCCGCGCTAACATCTATCTGACAGATATGGTAGCGGAGACTCACTATTTCGAGAAGGGGCCTTCGGCGGCAACTCTCCCTGGTTCCTTTTCGCACTCGGGCTGTAGAGGACGTATAGGATGACTCCCGCTACACCAGCTGCAAGCAGGGTTCTGTTGGCCTGAAAAACGCAGAGTAAGATCGGGTTTGAATCCACAAGACTGGGCGCACAAAACGCTTATTCTTCGAACTCTCTTGTAGTGGGTCTGTCATTATAGTGTGCAGCTGGACTGAGGAGGTACAAGTTGAATTGCCCCTGTCGGGTTGTGTGACGTCACTATAGCAATACATGATTATGTAAATTACCTGTCGACGCTAAAAATAAATAATTATCACTGGTCTTTGCTACTCCCTGCCACACACCCCGGCGAGTGGAGATGACACCTCGACAAATCCTGCCGAGCTCGACCCAACCCACGAACGTTAATGCGGCACAACAAGTTGAGCCCAAGACAAGGGGAGCTAATCGGTCTACGAAGGTTGCGGGGAAGCTCAAGGTTCTCCCCGACCAACCCACAACTCCAACCTCGACGCCAACACCAAAGCAGACCAAGGCCGAGCTTGTTGCACCAGAAGCACAAGAAGGTCCAAGTATAGCAGGAGATACTGACGAGGCAAATGACGAAGAGGAGGAGGAAGAGGAAGAGATTGACGAGGAAGATGAAGAGGAATACACTGAAGTACGATTGAGACAGATATCGCAAATTCCACAGGGAACAGCGCGAAGGGACGCGTTGAGGTTAACGAAGAAGAAGGCAAAGTCTTTACCCAGAGTCACCGCGTATGCCACGGCCAGGTGGGTGTCTCCAGACACTTACCGATGCTTGGGCACTAATGCCTTGAATAGTTCGTATCGGTTGAACGAACTGACCAAGTTCTTCCAGGTTCGACGTCAAGCTTACCACACAGACCCGAAAATCATCGACGACGAAGTAGTTTACACTCCTTACGCATACGAACCTTCCGTTGAGGCGCATGTAAACACCAGGCGAAATCCTGTAACTGGGGACTTACTCGGCGTCCCAGAACTCGCATCGTCCGGAAACGACGAAAATTGCAACGGAAAAAGGAGGAAGCGGGGCAAGTTCAACACTATCCCTACTGAGGCGGACGTTTTTGTCTTCAGCTACGGTACTGTGGTCATATGGGGTATGACGGAGACACAAGAGAGGCGATTTCTGTCATCAATGTAGGTTTCTGTGTCAGCAGAGTTCAAGTCAGTTGATCATGCACTCAGTCGACGCTTCGAGGTAGACAGATTAGGTGAGCGTGAAGAGCACGGCTATGATCGGCGCAATTTAATGAGCCTTTTTGGACAGCTCCAGAGGATATCGAGATGGAGGATCTGAATTACTACTATGCCAACTATAGTCGGTACGTGTTGTGATCTTCCAAAGAACGCAGTCTGAAGGTTCATTATCAAAGAATATATAACGACGTTATCACGCTTCGCAAGGGATCAGGATACATGTACGCATCTCTCGTATGTCGTCTTGTTCACATCCTTACCGTCGGTTTTATCAGGACGAAATTGTCCCTATCCCATGCCCTTTCTCAATCAGTAAAGATATCGCTTGTAAGTGCTTCCGGTGCACTGTCCATATAGCGCTCAAACGTGCATCTATGTAACTAGTTTGAAGCTCTAATTTCCTCGAAGATCGAAGACACGAAAGATATCCCTGAAATCCTCTCTGAGACAGGCAAGATCGCCATGCCACATAAAGGTACATCTCGTGGCGGCGTGCCCAGTTCTTTCTCCTCACCGACACATGCCCCTGTGCCTGATATACGTCCCGCTGCAGAAATAATGCGCAAGACTGGAGAATTGTTCATCCTCCGGACGAACATTAACTCAGTCGGGTCTGTCTTGGATTCCCCGGTACGTTCACTCGAGTCTTGTATTTTTGTCGAGCTAAGTATAGGTGCGTGCATTTGCAGGAGGTATTTTGGGTACGCTTATCATTCGTGTCTGATTGTGTTTGATGACATAAACGCGGATATAGAGCTATCCGGACCTACAACCCCTGTATGAAGCTGCACGGAGTTATCTGGAGATGCCCCAACGCCTGGAGCTTTTGAATACCCGTTTAGAGGTGGGTCCTTTCATAGTATCATTATAGTATTTGCATTATTCGTGCCCGATATATTGGCTATCTCCTCCTGTCCATATGGGCACCGCATACCAGGTGTAATCTGTTACCTAACTAACTCAATTTGTGTACGTGACTAGGTCCTCCAAGACATGCTCCAGCTTCTCAAGGAGTCATCGTCTAGCAGGCACGCAGAACGGCTTGAACAGATAGTTATCGCACTTATTGGTATTGAAATTGGTATGTGAACTCTCAACCACATGCCCTATACTTCTATTGATAAACGCTCCTGGTCGGATCCGATTATGATTGCTTGTGACTGCCAACCAGTTCTCGGCATTATCACTATCCTCGTGGACCTCATGGCGTGATTATCGGAACTTTCACAGGCTCCCCTATTCTAATTACGCAATGGAGAGTTCACACGGGAGTACTTATGGGTGGTTCATGTCGCATGGCCTTTCTTTATCCTGTATTATGTCACTTTGCAGATGCAGCCATTCTCAACGTGATGTATTATTGACAGCTACCTGACTATCCACTCGACAGCTTACTTCTGATAGCCCCAAGATAGCAAGTAACGCACTTAATTGCATGGGGACAGCCAAGAAGACATGTAGTATGTGCTAAGTTTTACAGATGGAAGCTTCTTAGATGCTTTCAGCCTGGACGCACCTCCGCCGACGACACTACAACTATATTCGGCCCTCAAGAATCGCCCAAGTGGACACCGTCTACGTTATACACATCATCAGGAACGAACCCGCCAGCTGATAACTCGGGTGACTCACTGTTAACATGGATACACTGTCCCGTCATACAGTTCGAATCGGAACACCCGAGAAACACGAATGAAGGGGCGATTTCTGCGGGTTGCGCCGCTCTTCCGTGGAGGGGCGAGCCAAGACCGAAGCCCTCCATTTCCTCCGCCTCCCTTGACGCCGCTTGCAGTGCAGTTATGACGGGACCCGGGGCCACCATGTTTACCCTGATGCCCCGTGGAGAGAGTTGTCGAGCAAGAGCGCGCGTAAAGGAGACAATCGCACCCTTGGTAGAAGCATAGTCAACTGGATGCGACACAGATCAGGTCAGGTCAGACAAGGCACCAAAAATAGAACTGACGGAGCCTTGGGTTGCCAGAGTAGGCAACGACAGATGTAGTGTTGATGATCGCCGAACCCCGCTTCATGTGTGGAACAGCGAATTTCGAGACAGCGATCATTTGCAGAATGTTGGATTCAAAGACGCTGCGCACGTTGCCTAGATCAAGATCCTCGATTGTATCTGACATTCTGCACGTCAAAGCGTCAAGATCAGTGAAGTAGCTTTTGTCAGGAGCGGGAGAAAATACGAACATTTGCTTAGAAGCGTTGTTAACGAGGATGTCCAGGTACTCAAACACCTTTAGATGCGCTTCTACGACCTTACGGCAGTCTTCCTCCTTCTGTAAGTCGGCCTCGACCAAGTTAACGTTGCAACCCTCCTTGGTGATCTGTTCCGCGGCGTTCTTGGCATCTTCCTTCTCCTGTGGCAGGTACGAGATTGTAACGCCCTTGAGACCTTCAATCGCGTAGAGGTGGGCAACTGCACGGCCAATACCGCTGTCCCCGCCAGTGACAATGGCATACTTGCCCTTCAACCTGCCATGTACATGAGTGCAATGCCGCCGGTGAGGAAGCAATGGACCAACTTCTCGCTGCCCTTGTATGTTTGGAGATGCGGCTTGCCATGGTGATCCCAGTTCTCTTGCTTGACGTATTCAACACCGGCTGCCGAGTGTGAATACAAGGTGTTGCAAGCCAAAAATTAGTCTAAGGCGGCACGTACGTCTGAGGCGAGTGTCTAATCCCGGGAGTTCCTGTTTCTGCTTTTCTGGAACAGCGACGGAGTACGCAGTGATAAGTTCTTCAGTCATGCTGGATGAGCGTCAACAGTATTGCGGGGGAGCACAGGGACGATCCTTTATACCTTATGCGTTGGATCCAATGACGTCGCAAATGCCCCCATGATGTCGATAATGACCGAAACTACTCCATGTTCTCGACACTACGACATTGGACCAGTACAATCTATCATTTGTTAATCGTTTGCGCTCACAGAAATGGCAAAAGGTTCTAGTAAATCATTCTTCAAGCGCCTACAATCCAATATACCACACCTTTTCCCCGCCGATAAACCCATCGCCTCCGAGTCCCCAGCCCTTGTTCCATCCTCCCTTCGATTTCCTAGCCTCCCTAATCTCAAAGAACAGGGAACCGTCCAAGATTTTTCGCACGTCTTCCTTCTCCACTTCGCCTCGCTGCTGGACGAGCAAGAAGGTCGTGAGCCACTCCAAAGCGGCGGCTACCCAACCGAACGGGTCTACCGCAACCCGATTTCCTTTTAGAAACTCCCACAACTCGCTCAACGTCAAGCTCGTGCGGGGTGGCTCTGCTCTGCTGCGGCGAGTGTACTAAAAACACGCAAGTAGTCAGCAGCCCCTATCTTGAATGGACGGGCGACGGAAAAGAAGTCTGACCTGGGACCAGATGTCTTCAAATCTGGAAGGGATGAATCGCCCATACGAATCGAAAACGCCAGAGTCTGAGCCGTGCTTGTCTTTATGAATGTAGTCTATGTGAATGCGAAAAAACGGGTCTGGGACGTAGGTCGTAGCGAGCCTTGATGATTAACCAGTTCAATCAAGAGTTGCTTCGATGCGGAAAGAAGAAGAGGGAAAGGGTGCATACCTGGTTGGAAGAGCCATGCTAGGCGTGAATGAAAAGGACCGCTAAGAAACTGAACAGCATGTTGAAACCTAAGTCGCGAAACCCGACCCATGTATCCCTGGGCCAGATAATGCCATCTTCATCCCTATCCCAGTATATGCAGTGTTGTTGCAATACCGACTAAAGGTAGAACGGATTCGGTGCGGTACAGTAAGTCAGGGGACTGTGGAACTCACGTATTCATGGTGGCGGGAAGAATACTTTTCGCTCCCTTGCGGTTGCTCAAAGCTAGGGGCGGAAGTTGCCCTGGGGACGTACGGCCTATGAATCCTATTGTCTGTGTCTGTCCTGGGGGAGCGCTGCCATGTATCGGGGACACGAGGGGCAACGTAGTTTGGTTCATCCCAGGTCTGACTGCTATTAGTACTGTATGTGCGTTTTGCCGTCATGGGTCGCAAATATCTCGCTGGGCACTGTGATAATCGGTTGAGAAGGTGAGACTCGAGCTTGACCGGAGTGCGCAACTGCTTTATATGTTAGGGATAGGGGGCATAACAAATTTGACTTGGTATCTTCCTGTGATTTTCGTGGCACTGACATCATTCCAAGGCGGAACCCTATCACCGTTATTGGTATATCGCCAGAAAAAGCCCATAGTTTGCGCACAAGCGCGAGGGTATGAGTGTGAATGGTATGTACAGAGTCCATTAGTACGTTTTACGGCCCTGACGAGCCCAACCAGTCTCAATTGCTGGTATCGTTGCAAGAACTCGAAATGGGACTTGGCACCATGCCCGTAAGTTGGCTAGCCTTCGCCAGCCGCTTTGCACGTGCGAATATCCCGACCTCCTTATCTCTGATGAAGTTGATGATTACCATCGGCCAGCTAGGGTGAGACGGAAGGGTGTCGTAGAACTCGGGCGCAAGGGCGCGAAGAGCGGGCAAACGCGTCCATGGGATGGACGGGAAATCGTGATGTTCGTTGTGGTAACCGACCTAAGAAATTGCCGTGAGTCCAGGGATGTACACTGATTTCTGCTGCTGACTCACGTTGTAAGCTAACAAGTTTAGTGCGCCGTAGTAACTGTATGTTTCTTGGTTGAGGCCATCCCAGACGTAGTGCTCCGCTATGAAATGACCGGCACATGGATGTAGGCTACCCGCGAAGAAACTTGAGAAGAGGAGGTACAACAAGGGTTTCACGCCGAACGTTCGCACGAGGATGTAGTCAAAAATTGCTTGAGCGACGACGTTGATGAAATGCCACTTTGTGAGCGTCTGCGCACGCACGAAGGTAGGACGCAACGCGTAAAAGAAGATCTGAAAAGTTCTATATCGAGCATGTGGGTGAAGTGCAAGGCTTCGTAGTGGGAAGCACTCACGCAAAGAAGGTCTTCCCAAGTACGTTGTTGAGGCACAACAGCTCGAAACGCGTAGGGAGATCTGTATCGATCCCATCTTCTCCGAGATGTTTGTGGTGTTCCAGATGATACCTCTTTGCAAGGCACCACATGAGCCTCGATCTACACGCGTGTAACATGAAAGCAGAAACTGCGAACCTTGAACGCGGCAGCGTAGGGTACTCCAATTGGGAGATTGGCAAGGACTGCGAGTGCCCTGTTTGCATTCACGCCCCTGAACGCGAGGTTGTGTGTAATCTCGTGGATAGCAAGGAAGAGATTGTGATTGGCGGTACCCCCGACAATGTATGCCAATGCAAGGAACGTCCATGAGAGAGGATGTGTGTGGCGAAGGTATATTGCAATGGACACCTGCAGCGACACGACGCCGAAAACGACGTACTTTGTGAGAGGCTCGTAGCCCATCAGTTTGGTGACCTCCGGGTGTGCCTTCATGATGGCGGTTCGGCGCGTGCGGTGGGGCTCCTCTGTCATCATCCAGAGAAAGTCGGCGGGATCGAGAGGTGGTCCCGGGTGTGATCTCCCGTCATCCTTTTTCGACGGGGCCACGACGACAGTGCGGCGGGGAGTACGCTTGTCAACATTGGGTGGGAGCGTCTCTGCACCGCCAAAACAACTAAAGTCTAAAACGGAAAGAGATCAGCGGACACCAGCACCCAGGCTGGCGCGCGTCTCACCTGTGTCTTCGTGGCCGGCCATCGCTGCTGTCTGCACTGGAGTGGGTCGTGGCTTAAGTAAGTAGAGCCAATGACGACCGTGGGAACGACCTTCCCGATGCATGCTAATAGCTTGAAAGTGGGACGATTTGGGTTGCATGGCCGCAGCGGGCCTATAAAGCAGTCCATGAAACTCAAAAAACACCAGGAACGATGTCGAATGCAGGCAGCGAAGCGCAGGACCAGCCAGACCTGGCGTTGGACCCATCTGACCCGCTCAACTTGCTGCTGAACAACTCGGGTACCGACTCAGACTCGGATTTATCACAGACAGCGGGCCCGCCAGACTGGTCGCAGCTGTCGTCATTGTGGTTGCAAGCCCACCAGCCAACCCCCGGAGTAAACAGCAAGCCTCAGGATGTGTCCACCATGTTTGACTTTCCCTTCCCAATGGACATGGAACTCACTTATCCTCCGTCGATAGCCATGGGCGTCGATCCAAGCATGCTCTACCTCGATAATAACAAGGGTCTGCATTTCTCCATACCCGAGATGACGTCTGCAGTGCCCATTCGTCCACGAGATCTGCTGGCGGAGTCATCTCTCAGTTCAGCAGACGACAGTTCATCAAGCACGAGTTCTCCGGGCAGCCCTTCCGTCGGCTTTGGCGCATCGCCTGTCGTGTCTCATGCCCCCACCCATAACCCAGGTAAGAAGGTCCTGCTCGTGAGATGCTTGGTCTTCAAAGTTTTACGATGAAACACAGTTGCTGCCTCTTATATGCCGCAGGCCACCTTCCTTCCTTTGCACATGAATACTCAAACGCCTTGTTCCATCCATTCCATCGTCACACCCTCCTTCCCTCCCCGCATCGTCCATCACCTCCTCGCCTTCCCACCCATCCGAAAATGCATCTACCAACCTCGGCCGCCCAAAGACATCCCATACTACCATTCGAACGCCGTTATCGCACCAATCCTCAACGCCCGCATACAATCCCTCAAAGCTGCCGTACCCGCGCTACGTGTACTTGACCCAAACTACAGAAACGACGAGCACAGGGTCGACGAGCGCGGGTACATTGATGGCGTCAAAGTTGCCCGCAAGGGCAGCAAGGCAAATGTACTCGGCAAAGCCGTGGAGTATATACAGTAAGCTATGATACTACTAATAAGACGCGCTACTCATGTTGCACAGAGTTCTCAAGAGGAGAGAAGCCCGACTGAATCGAGAGAAGGAGGGTCTGCGAACCCTTGTCTGCCGTTTCCCAAATGGAGAGACCGTCCTCACGCAGTGGGAAATGGAATGGGTGAAGAAGTACGGCGGACCTGAACGTGATGAGATCGATAATGCCGGTGTTGAAGAAGCGAGTGACGAAGAAGATGGTGACGACGACGACGACGGATCGGAACGCGCAAGGAAGAAACCCAAAGTGGAATGTCCTCCGCAAAAGAAAGAAAAGCGCAAAATTGCACCTGCCGTCCCTGCCACTATGCAGGACACTGCTGCTGCCGCTGCCTTGGTCGGTTTACCCGAGAAGCGCAAGCGCGGACGCCCTCGCAAGATACAAGCCTAATAGCGCCACCTCCTGTATCTGCCTCCGCCACTTCCATATTGTTAACAGGTCCAAACGTAGCGTCTCACGGACAGGCTGTCTCACAGACGGCGTCGCAATTCGCTCAGCCTCAACAGTACCTCCTTGCTGTGTTCGCGTTGATCTCGTTTTTCAATTCCCCGCTAACTACATCAATGTCTGCCAAACAGTACCGCCCTACGCACGAAGGCGTAGTGTTGTCACACGCTTTCACATCCAGCGCAACCACTGTCATCCGTTCCCGTGTCAGGATGGACGTGGAGTGACTCCGTAGAGGCAATACATTTACTCGCGTCTGCCCTCGTCATTTTCTCCATCGTCCTCACGTGGATTCCACTGCCTACCCGATGGTCTCAATCGCGCATCCTGCGGTTCGTACCCTTCCGTTTCGTGATTAGCCAGCCTAGTACTGCTTGCCAAGTCACTTCATGAGGTGTCTGACCTCCCTGACGCCTCCCGTCTCCCCAGACGTGAGCGACTCTGATTCGGAAGCAGGTTCATCCTCAAACGAGGGAACCTGTACGCGCTGGAAGTAGGGGCTCCAGAGAAGAATCGAGCCCTTTGTTCCTTACCTTGAACTCGAAGGGGTCGAAAGATGAATACCAAAAGTTGATCGATGTGTTGGAAGTTAACCTTGGCGTCGCCGGTCTTTTCCGCGGAGCTATAGGATTATGGTCTCCTCGCGACTCTGAACACCGCCTGAAGCGCCAAGCATGGATGCGTCTTGCAGAACTGATCGTGCTAAAATCAGGAGATGCAAGGGTTTCGGTTGCTCTACGCTTGCAGGTGTACAACAACCTCTCGTCGGGCCTCCACACTTCCGCCACAGAGCAATCCCCGCCAAATCTTGTGTCGGATTTGTGCACACTCGCGCTCCTTGTATATTCCCTTCCCCTTCCCTTTGCACAATCGAGGGCAGAACGCCTGTGGAATCGTGCATGGAGAATTGTGGACACAAACGCCCATCACGTATTCACGTTCGAGCGCCTAATCTTTAAAGAGATGACGCTGGAAGGTGCTCTGGAGTGCTTGTCGGTGTCTTCGGAAGGTACAGACGTGAACGGCCCCACCCCCATTACTACGCTTGGTTCGACGCTGCTACACCGGAGATTGCTTGCCCATGCGTCATCGCTGTTCGTTCACCGCGTCGCCGAGGCCCACGAAGGCGTAGTAGAAGACTTTTCCTCCGAAGACGAGGAAAAGCGGTGGCGGGAAACAGTCGAATACGGGTGTAGCATCGATGGTGGTATCGCCGCGCTTTGCAGTGTTTTCAAGAGAGTATGGCGAGATGAGGCAGACATTGGACGTTGACGCCTTGGAGTGGGGTTCTGTGGACTCGAGTTTGCAGGCGCTACTGACTGCTATTATCCTTCATCAACAAGTGTTTCCTCGCAGACAATCCGACAGTACTCTGGGCTCCCTCGCGGATTTTAATACGTCCTTCCTCTCGCCCCCGCCGAGCCCGCAGAGTGGACAACCCAAGGATGCCCGAAGTCGTCGGCTGCGCTGCATTCTAGGCTCGAGCGTTTTCGAACAGAGTGCCACAAGCAGCGACACCCAATCGGACGCGTGTTCATTATCACTAGAAGATGCGCGTGACCGTGTGGTTGACGAACTCGTCAACCTCGAGAGAGAGACACGGAGGTTACGTTGAGCGTGGCAGTTGACATTTATGCTTCTGTATGGGTACCGTCGAATATTGTACTTCGCGTATTGATTATTTCTTTATCTGTTTCTTTGTTGCCCCTTACGAGTTATGTGTTTTTATGGAGTATCTAATCAGTACGACAATTATTAGGCCTGCACAAAGTTACATGATTGGAAGAAAAGCCCAGCCATTTTGTTCAATTTCTTCTAGGACAGCTTGACGGAAGCGGCCAATGCCAGCAAGGGTAAGTGTTGCTCTTCATTCGATGATAGCCATGATGGAGTAGCACAGCATTTGACCACTGTATGAAGCACGCACTGGGATCCACTAGTGGTACATCACACGCCTGGCTTGACGAACTGTTCAACCTTATCACTGGATCTACTACGAACAGCGAGCCTACCTGCGTGTGACGTGCCCTCGTTAACTCATTGGTCTTGCGTAGCTATCAGCGTAGTACTTGGACACTGAGTGTCGGATCAGCAATATGAATGCATACCAATCAGCGAGGCCAACTTCAGTAACGACGGCACTCGGAACGACGCTTCCAAAGCGACCGCTCGTTTCCAACCCTAAATATTTGAATTCGAAATCCCATCAACGATAGTTACTGTCCCAAAACGCCAGGTGGACCGCTCTAGCAGACCCTCTGGCCCACCCATTCGACCGTATCTGCAGATTACCCATAGCATGACGCTACCTCCCCCCCGACGTCTTTCAGATGACACCATACTCCGGTTTCTTTACAACAGAAGGCGTCAATGTAGAGACCCCTTCTTGGTGCTGTTGGAGTGAAACGACCCCTGTCCTTACTTGGACTTAGGCACATGATCATGTCGCTTACATAAGCTTTTAGAGCGCACCCATAGACTAGTAAAATTTACCTAGTCCCTCAGTAGCTTGACAGACTACTGAGGTTCACTACAGATTCCTCTCTGGGTTTCCCCTCTGCAACCCCACAAACTTCTTCAGGTTGTGAGCCCTGCCTAGTGGCAGAACCTAGGAGGAATGGCAGTGAAGAGATACTGGACTAGGGAAGGCTTCATCTACATCCCTGAGCTCAAGATGAATGGACAGAATTGGAAAGAGTATTACATGAAGATACTTGAGGTTGCATGAATCCAAAATGTGGAGCAAGTATTGGTTGGCATGAAGCCAAAACCAAGGCCAGGTAGTGATGAACTAAAAGAATGGCTAAAGTGTAGTGGAACCACAGACTCTATTCTGATGTGGAACATGCCTGATTCCATCTTTTTGTGCATCAAACACTATGAGACAGCCCATGAAATGTTCAACTACCTAGCAACTACATATGGTGACCCAAATCCTACCTCCATTCCTGTGAAATGTGTCAGCACACCAGCTGAACAGTTGAGCACTGGCAAGGATGAACCAGAGGGAACAAATGGTGAGTGCAAATATGCACAAGAACCACAAGATGAGACACTTGCACCACATGTGAAGCCTGATGAACTGTCAAGTGAGCCACCTAAGGAGGTGATGCTCAAGGGGAACAGTAATGATGAGGTGAGAAGTGGTGATGAAGTAAAAGCTGAGGCTACAGTTGAGGTGGTCCAGTGAGTCATGTTGCAGGGCGGAGAAGTTGAATTGAAGACTATGAAGTCCACTGAAGATGCACTTTGTCAGTGTACATCTCCAGTCGAGTTCGAAAGGGTGAAATCAGTTGAAGTCAAGGGTGAGACATCTGGGATGGTTAGTGAAAACAAAGCTGTGAAGAGAGGTCTGGGTGAGGAAGCCACAGATGAGACTGACAGCCAGGATATCACAGCCAAGGAGATGGTGAACCTCAAGGCAGATGGTGGGGACACAGAGATCTGCCACACATCAAACAGGCCAGAACACAAACAACTGGAAAGGGCTGACAATGATAGGCTGGCCAGGATCATCAAGGTGAAAGTGCTGCCAAGTGATGGAGCATCCAGCCACCCCCAAACTCGGAGAATGGAGCTCAAGGGGGAGAGGGATAGCAGCTGTGTGAGCAGCACCATGGATCAACTGAGCAGCAGCACAGATGTGCCACAACACTGTGTAGATGACCCTAGCAGCAACACAAAGGACACAGGTGGCAGCATGGATGTGCTGCAGCACCATACAAGTGACCCTGGTCACCATGCACACAAGAGAAGGGCATGCATGAGTGCCAGAGACCTGCCAAACAGTCTCCAGACACCAGCTGAACACCTGAGGGAGGGAGTCAGCACTACAGCTGCTAAACAGCATGCAGTGGGGGAGACAAGCTGCAAGGAGTCAGATGGGCATGCCAAACCCAAGGTCACAGCTGAGCAATGCAAATGTGAGGCTATTGAGCCAGTGCCAGACCTAACTCTTCAAATGGAAGTGTGCACCACCAAGAATTTACTATGAATGCCTACAGAGCACAGTCAACCCAAACCCCCTATGACAAACTACATACTGGAGTCACCAACTGAGCAGGGACGAGTACCACTCGAGGGGGAGTATGGTGGTAATGCAAGTGGCTATGCAAATGGCCAAAACACCAGTGGAAAGGATCTTCGAGATCACACAAACAAGTCAGCTGGTAGTGAGAGCCATCAGCACATGATTACAAAGATGCTGGAAGTGTCAAGGGTCAGTGGCAGAACAGTTGAGAATGGGAGGGATGCACCAAAAGTGCAAGTGCAGCCAGTAAAGGCTGGAAACAACCAGGACAGTGGTGGCAGTCACAACACTGGCCCACACAGAGTTGAGGACATGTCACTACCCATGGCTGCGACTCAGTACACCTATGGAGACACCCTCAACAGGCCAGAGCTGTGCAGCAGTGCACCTGGAGGCACAGGACTGCATGTCAAGCAGGGTTGCACATTGGCAATAATAAATGAGACCTGTGGGTGTCAGTACACACCAGAGGAGCACCCAAAGGAAGGAATTGGCACTACAGCTATTGAACAGCATGCAGTGGGGTCCAGCAAGGTGCAAGAGGTCAAGATGCTGCAAAATGAGTGCAATTGTGCACCAGCAATACCACAAGAATCCTATCAAGGTTGGCACATGCTCAAGAGCTTACCTGATGATGAAGCTAGGGAGCCAGAAGTGCATGGAGGCACTGAAACTTCCCAGACAGTCAGTGGAGATGTCAAAGGGAGCACAACAAGGCTGGAGACAGGGCCTACCAGCGCTAAGACAGCCAAGGCACAAGCATGCCTGCTGGACACAGAATCAGGGCCAAGGGAGGCCAGTGACAAGGGGAGCATGTAGGATGAGAGTGGCACAGATGATGCAACAAGCAATGATGCTGTTGACTCACTCAGAGTCAAGACAAGGATGTTAGCTGGGAGCAGCATTCAGTACTGCAACAGAGACTGTTCACCAAGGGCAAGAAACATACCTGCATCATCAATACCACCCATGGGATGTGTGGAACACCTCTTCAGGACCTCTGTACCAAAACATCGACATGGACACATCAAATTCAAGGTTCCAGGGCAAGCTTTTGCTTTCGAAGGCATCAAAAGCCTGCTTGAGGTGTTGGGGACAGATATGCTGGTTGTGGCGAGCATGGAGAGTGAGATGCTTGATGGTGGTGATGGCGAATGAGGTGACGATAGCAGCATAGCTAGCAGCAGCAATGGCGACTCAGAGTGACTTGAGGAAGCACTGATACCTGCAGAGGCTAGTCAGCATGATGGCCAAAGCATGAACACAAAAGATAACATACCTGCATCATCAAAATCACCTACGGAGCATGTGAAGCACCTCCATGGAATCTACAGGCCAAGGCATCAATGCAGATGCATCAAAATGGTACCTAGAGAGGTCAGTGGAGTTGAAACGAGGCAAGATGCCCCCCAGGATCCATGTTACCATACCCAAGCCCTCATGAAATGCCTTGAGGCATGCAGGACCATGCTGAGTCGACTTTGGGACTCCAAGGATGCATGGACAGCCAAATGATATATATTCGAGCAAGTGAGCGCACTTGCAAGGCTTGTGCAGTGGCTGGAAGATGCGACAAGACGACATGCGACTGTACACAGCGAGATTACATAATCAGATGACGTGCCAACATCGCATGCACACAAGTCAAGCTGCACACCCAAAATTCACATATTTCATTGCACATTTGATTATACATTTGGTATATTTCATTTCTGATACTTTGGGTTATGTTTTACCTTTAGTTTTACCCCATGCCATTTCAGGGGGAGTGTTGGAGTGAAATGACCCCTGTCCTTACTTGGACTTAGGCACATGATTGTGTCACTCACATAAGCTGTTAGAGTGCACCCATAGACTAGTAAAATTTACCTAGTCCCTCAGTAGCTTGACAGACTACTGAGGTTCCCTACAGATCCCTCTCTGGGTTTCCCCTCTGCAACCCCACAAACTTCTTCAGGTGTGTGGCCTCACAGCAATCCTGCAGATATTGGGTATTCTGATATGATTCCATGCAGATTAGGATTGCTGAGTTCTGTTCTGAGTTTGTCATTTTTAACTAGGTGGTCTTCATTGCTAAAGTGGAACTCACCACTGTGGGGTGAGTACACTCAGAATGGCTCACAACAACAACAGAACATGGACAGGTGTGTGGGGATTAGACAATCAAGCATGTACACTGATACAAGATGCTCAACAGAGCGAGTGAGAGGAAAGAGGGGAAAAGAAGAGACAACCTGCACATACATGCAGCACCAGTATATATACCCCCAGGGTCCAAACAGTACAACACAGCAGGAGGGATCTGCATGCCCAGATGAGGGCATGATCAAGGGAATAGGAGATGTGATGATGTGAAGTGATAGTGTGAATAGTGCATGAGTGGCAAGTGGTAAGCAGTAAGGTAAGCATATGCTTACACCCTCCCAGCCCATAAAAAAAGGCAACTGGGGGGAGAGGGAGCATGAGTGAGCATGAACCCTGCATCTTCTTCAGCATCTTCTTCATCAACCTGACCTCAACTCTTCTTTGTCAACCTCAACATCATCATCCTATGGCAGGTGCTCCCTTTCCCAAACATCCAACACCTCACAATCCTCCAGATCCTTCATTGTCAGCCACTCATCATCCTCCAGTCCATACCCTAACCACTGCACCAAATACTTCTTTGACCTCCCAACCTGCTTCTCATCCAAGATCTGCTCAATCAAGTTCTCCAACTGTCCATTCTCCATGACCACAGGGCCCAGGTGAGGTAGCTCATGAGAGGGGAAGAGTGTTGTATCATTAGGCATGAAGGTGCATAGTTGACTGACATGGAGCATAGTGCATGTGTTGGCTGCATGAGGCACATCTAAGACGTAGGAGGAGGTTTCAGGCAAAGCTGACAAGATGGTGTAGGGACCATCATACTGCAGCATAAACTTTGCTACACAATTTGTTCCACTAGTAATATATTCATGACAATGATGTTTTGTAGACAGCCAAACCTTGTCCCCAACCAAAAACCTTGGGTTGGGGACACAGCATCGATTAGCCACATGAGCTTGAGCTGCCTTTGCTGCGAGTAGGTTGTCATGTGCTTCGAGGATGTCCATCTCCAGATGAGCCAAAAAGGCAGCAGCATCTGCATGTTCTGTCGTCTCAGTGTCCAAAGTGGAGATAGGGGGTAAAAGATGTGGGGAATGACCAAGGTGGAGCTGAAATGGGGAGAACCCCATACTATTGCTAATGGTGTTCATAATATGGAAACATATGCAAGGCAGGGCCTTGACCCAGCCTTTCTGGCTACATTCGACATGGAAGTGAATACATTGATTGACTGTCTTGTTGGTGTGCTCACTTGCCCCATCAGTCTGGGGATGGTATGATGAAGACATCTTGAGTTTAACTCCTGTCAACTTGTGAAGGGACCTCCAGAAGTGAGATAAGAAAAGCTTATTGTGATCTGAAACAACCTCCAAGGGAAGGCCATTTTCACAATACCAATGATTGAAGAAAAGTGTAGCAAACTCTGAGGCAGTGATGGAACTTCAACAAGGCACAAGGCATATGTCAGCACCAAGGTGGTCTGTCATTGTGATGATCATATTGAAGCCATGGTCCTCTGGTAAGGGACTGATGAAGTCAATGGCCACAGAGTCCCCACAAGCATCAAGGACTGGCAGGGGATGTAATGGGCCAGCCAGTGCCATAGTTGGAGACTTGTTGCACATACAATGAGTGCAAGCTGGGATATATGCAGAAGCAAGATCATGGCACATGTTAGGCCAGTAGAACGAATTATGGAGGGCTGCATAGGTCTTGTCTGTGCCAAAATGGCCCAAGGCATCATGGGCAAGGTGAAAGAAGCATTCTCATAGTGAATGTACATGGGGAATCACCAAGCAACCTGCAAGGTACAATAGGCCATCTTGTTCCTGTAGACCAGGAAGTGAGTCAAGAAGAGAGAAGAGTCACCGACAGAAGAGATCTTCCATGTATCCTTTCAATATCTCCACTGTCAGTGACTTGTCCACCTTGACTGTGGACACTGCAGCCATGGGGGGGGCATCATCCAAGCGTCACAACAGGGCATCAGCCCCCACATTACACTTGCCTGGAATATAATGAATCATCAGATCAAACTGGGACATATATTCTTGCCAGTGAGCTTGATGCTGGGAGAGGTCATGTTGTAGGGCAGGGTGCTGGAGGGTTTGATGGTCAGTATACACCAACACTGGGGTCCCAAGCAGCTCGACCCTCCACTTCTTCAAGGCATGAATGATGGCAAGGAGTTCCTTCTCATGCACAGGGTAATTGAGTTCAGCACCATGAAGGGGGGTGGAATCAAAAGCAACCAGCCAAGCTGTCTCCCAAGTGGGCCCCCAAGAGAGAATTGCCCCAGTACAGAAGTCCAAGGCATTGCATGTAAGGAAAATGTGGTTGTTGCCTGGATTATCATGATCAATCATCATCAAACAGTGGGGACTGACCACAAGATCTTTGATGGCCTGGAAGGCCCACTGATGGTCATCATTCCAGACAGGGAACTTGAGTTCTGCAGCCTTGGTTGTCAATGCATTCAGAACATGCGTGTGCTCTGCAAGATTGGGAAGATGATCTGCAACATAACGAACAAGGCCCAGGAAGGCCCACATGTCCATAACTGATCATGGTACTGGCCAATCGAGGATCCTTGTGATCTTGGAAGAGTTGGGCTTGATTCCATGAGCAGAGATGTGATGGCCAAGAAACAGAACTTCAGTACAAAACAACTGAGTTTTCTTAAGAGAACAATATAACTTAGCATCACAGAGGGCCTGGAGGACTGCACGAATGTTGCATTCATGTTCCTCGAGTGTCTGTGACCAGATAATAATGTCATCAAGATATACATGGCAAATGTGACTGATTAGATGATGGAGGGCAGCAGATGTCTGATGCTGATGAACCACAGGGGCATTCCACACCCCCATAGGCATGACAGTCCACTCATACAGGCCCCAAGGTGTGTGCATGGCTAACCATTTAATGTTGTCTGGATGAACCTTTGTCTGAAAGAAGGCATTGGTCATATCCAGTTTTGTGAAATACCTGCCTTTGGCACAATCACAAAGGATCTCATTGATGTGGGGTAACAGGTGGTTATCAGGGATTGTGTTCAGATTGAGTTGTCAAAAATCATTGACCCAGCATGGCAATGCAACAGGATCTGCCTTTGGAATAATGAACACAGGCGAAGAGTGAGTACTATTGGAAGGCTGTAAATGCCCTGCATCCAGATGTTGTTGTAGTTATGTTTCCCATGCTTTGTGATACTTCTTTGGACAATTGTACAACTGAAGCTGGATCACCTTGTTGGCATCCCTGGGCTGGACCCAGAAAAGCACATCATCAGGCAGGGCATCTGTGGGTGGGATGTCACTTGGGAAGCAATCAGCAAACTCAACCTTGAGTCATGCATCACACTTTGTCAGCTCCTCAGCAGCTGCAAGGACCTCAATGCAATGCTGTACCATGCCAATAACATCCACCCCACAGACCAGGGTGGATGCCACCTCCACAAGTTTGTGATATGTGGGCAGAATGCTGTGTAGCTCTGCAAGGACTGCACCCTTAAGTTGCTTGACAGCCTGAATGGTAGGGGTTACTGGCAAAGGGGCAGGAGCTGGGATGGGAGTTGGAGGATTCAACAAGTCATAACCAGTATCTTTATTAATGCATGTATGGAGAGCATGATTGATGACAAGCTGATTATGTGCAAGGAATGGGAGTCCTAACAAGAGTGGTGTACATAAACAGGGCACAATTATTGCATGAACAGACTGAGAACGAAAGCATGCATCAGGGGAAAGACAAGATAGAACAACATAACTCTGCAGAGACATGACCTCCCAGTTACCAGAAGAAAGTGCTACCAAAATGTCGAGGGACTTGTGCAACTGATGGTGCTGTAACCCTAGCTTCAAGACAAGGGTTTCATCAATCAGAACTAAATGAGAACTGCTGTCAATCAGTGTCTTCACAGGTAGGGGGAAGGTCACATTAGGTCCTTCCAGGAGGCAGGACCACTGGAGATGGGGAATGGAAAGAGGTGTGATGTACTCTTCACCTGAGTCAGTTCCATCCCCCAGTGTAGCAGAGGGCATGACGACAGCAATGGCATCTGTGTCATCATCCACTTTGGTGATGCAGGAGCACTTCACTGCAGGCTCCTCTTTGATGATTGCAGCAATAGGTTTGGCACATTTCTTACAAGTGTCCTCAATGTCAGCAGCAGTCAGTGCTTTGTAGTTTTTTGCATCAGGGAAATCATTTGGGCAATCATGTGTGGTATGGTTTTGAAAGAGATGGTGGCACTTGAAGCAGCCCAAGTTGTCCCAAAGGAGCTGGCATTCCTTGATGGTGAGGGCAGGAGGGTGAGTGCAGGTGCAACCATCTGGTGCCTTTGAACCCAATGCTGCAGTGCTAGCTGAATGGCTAGGCTGAAAAGGTTTTCTACAAAGAGCTGCATCAAGTTTTGCAGCATCATGAATGCATTTCTCATCAAGCAAGTGGACCAGGTCAAGCCAAGCACAGAACTGCTTCTCATGGCAGCCACCAGTCAAGCAATATTCTGCAGTGAGATCTGGGTGCATGTGAGACTCTAGGTGAAAGCAAAGATGGTCTTCAGTGAGGTGGAACTTGCTACCCCATAACAGAACATTCAGACTCTCCACCTCAACAGCCCACAAGTGGAAGGCTTTATTACCCTGCATCAATGAGAGCATTTTCTGTTGGATAGCTTCCACCCAGTTGCTGGGAAGCCAATACATATGAACTTCATCCATAAACTCTGAGAAGGAGAGGGCAGTCAGTCAACTGCCATTGTTGCTAATCCAGTCCTGCACATGAGGATCCAGAAGGTGTCCTGCAACCTTGGCAACCTGAACATCCTCTGCTACACTTTTCAGCTGAAAGTAATTCTCACAACCTAGTTCCCAGCTTCACAACCCTTCCAGGGTAATGTCACCCACTGTCAAGAAGGGAGGGGTTTTTCCAGGAGTGGTATTTTCACATTGCACTACCTGAGACTGTGTTGAGGACATCATGAAGACAGGGAGAACCACTGTGAAGCTGTCAGATGACAACAAGCTATCTGTGGAAGTTGGAGATGGTGGAAGGGATGCTGGTAATGGGATGTGTGAAGGGGAGATAGGCAGAGGTGGAGTGATGCTGGGTGGGGCCATGAGCAGTAGTGTAGATGGTGGGGGAGTAGAGGTGGCATGCAACAGAGACAGTGAAGATGAAGATGAAGATAATGGCAATGACAACAATGTTGTGGGTGGAGGGTTATTCCCTTGACTATGGGTAGTCAAGGGTATGGGGACAGAGGGAATGTGATGGGACAGCAGTTTGACACCTCTAGTAGGTGTCAACACATGCTATGGCACATTCAAAAAAAGTGGAACTCACCACTGTGGGGTGAGTACACTCAGAATGGCTCACAACGACAACAGAACATGGACAGGTGTGTGGGGATTAGACAATCAAGCATGTACACTGATACAAGATGCTCAACAGAGCAAGTGAGAGGAAAGAGGGGAAAAGAAGAGACAACCTGCACATACATGCAGCACCAGTATATATACCCCCAGGGTCCAAACAGTACAACACAGCAGGAGGGATCCACATGCCCAGACGAGGGTGCGATCAAGGGAATAGGAGATGTGACGACGTGAAGCAATAGTGTGAACGGTGCATGAGTGGCAAGTGGTAAGCGGTAAGGTAAGCATATGCTTACATAAAGACGAAGTACATGTACCGTATATTGGAAGCCTTTAGCCACACGAGGCAAGAAGGGGATCGTGCATAGGAGTGATATTTCATATCAGCATCACGCCGGTTGACCCTACAGCGAAGAAGGGCAGATGGTGGATGAGACCACTAGTATCGCACTTCCGCCCCTCTCCGCGACGCAGCAGCATTATCGAGTGTTGGGTGCGTGGTAACCTCGAAGACAGGCCTTTCGCATACGCAGAACCGCCTTGCTCCGTTCTTTGAACTCTCTACGCCGGGCAGGTTTGTGAAGTGGACAGTACTGGAGGTAGATCGGACAGGGTACCCGAAGCCTGGGATCGAAGGTATTGCCGGGTGTTCAGCGATGCTAGAAGCGAGTTGGCATATACTACTGAACAGTGAGATGGGGTGTTATGTCCATCGTGTACGAGACAGAAAAGACTCACGCTTTCCAACGATGAAATTCAATCCCATCGCCCATGCATCTTGTTGATCGACGTTCTGAAGGAAGTGTGAAAACAATATAGCCATCTTTCAAGGTGCCATACGTACCACACTGAGCTCCGCAATGACAACCAGTCTACAATGAAAGGAAGTCATGGTTACAAATGAACGAGGGATGAAACTTACAACGTCAACAAGCACCTGTTAACAGCATATATGATAAGCATGTGGAAGAGACGTTTCGTTCTAAAGCAGCGTTCCTTAGAGATGAACAACCGATACGGGCTGGAGTCACCTTGGGAACGCAGAACTAGAGCCACTGTCATAGAAAAGTACACAAAGTGACACCGTGATCAGAACCTCAGCTAATGCAACGGTGGCCGCCGCAGGTGTCACGGAGTAAAACTAGGAATGACGAGTGAGCCAATGCACTGACTCCTGTCTTAAGGGAACTACCCTAGTCTGCGAAAGGACGCTTGTCAATTTATCGATGAACCTACGCACGAGAATAAGCATTTATGCAGTGAGGATGGTTGGTTAAACTAGAGTACATTGCAGAAACTGTCACTGCTTTGTCGTTACAATAGGTCTTTCGTAGTGGAAGCAAAGCACAAACCTATGCCAAAACCTGTTGAAGTATTGTCAGAAGTAGCTTGCGAGCGCAATATATATATATACTCGCCGAAGTGAGCGAGCACGAATACTATCTATCGCGATTCTGTTAACGCACGGTATACTTTCCATCGCGAACAAATGTACTCACAATCGGAGCGGTCACCAACCACTTCAGTTGAGGGCGACAAACTGGATACCGATTAACAAAGTTTCGGGGGACATCGAATGTCACATACGGCAATATATTTTATGTGCGAAAAAGCTAGTAGCGTTCGTTTTATGAGCATCGACCCATAACACAGAGTCACTTACAATTCAACTACCAAAATCACAAGTAACTACAACACAGTTAAACCCCGTCGCAAAGGTCTGTGAGACGGAAGGAACTCACATTCACTAGAACAGATACCTAAGGGAGGAAAATATTTCAAAACAGTGCCTTGTAGAAAATTGGGTATGCTCACTGAGAATGACCTGTATGTCTCATCGGCGGGGAGCGGCTTTGGAGTGGAAAGCATACGAATCACACAGTATACCCCAAACTCATCGGAACGCCGTAGTTGGTTATCTGCAGTGACCGAGTAAGACGGTCATAAGGATAGAAGCATCAGCCTCACCAGGTAGTAGTACAACAAATGACACACTGGTCGACCATTAGCCACCCATCCACGCAGAAGCACCGAATACCCACTGAGCAAGACATGTAGGGTATCAAGAATCCTGGCCTCGCGTGAGTAGATTTGACTAATGCCACAGGGTGATCTAACTCACCATATGGCACCAGCAAGGAACTTCATGGTCGAGGCATCCTCAGAATAGTGCATAAAATACACGTAAGTCTGTATAACCAGTGAGCATAAGTACTCTACTGCACGTTCCTTTTAACACGCCCCTGGAGAGTTGTTATGCCATACAACCTTGACATGGAATAAGGACATCAGAGATTTGACAGCGTGACAAAACGATACACACATGGCGGAGGCCAAGCCTGCAATGAGGATAGAACCTGTGTGGACAAATGAGCAAGCACGACTGCGTTTGCTTACGAGAAGTCTTCACCGAACCCGCCCGGGATGCCCATGTCGTTTAGGTAACTTGTATGAGTGGTGGGCAGAGAAATAATCGAGGGTGGCAAGGGCGGGATGAATCTGATACTGGAACAACGCTGCCCTGTCTTTAAAGGACGAGGGTTGCATTGCCATGATCTGTAGAAATTGCATTGCCCGAGCAGTATTTCTCGCTTGGTAGGGTAGGTCGCTGAAACATTTGCTTGACACATCTGGGATGATGGAAACTCTGATGGCAATAACTAGATCCGATGATCTCGATTCCAGCCATTCCTGTAGTACAGCCGTTCCTATGGTCCTCGGCCTCGGTGGAAGCACATGTCGCCCTTGGAAAGTCTGAGACATATAGCAAGAAAAGTGCTGAGTGTTAGCTAGAGTGCGAACAGCTGTATCTCCCCAAGCCTGTATGTATGTCAACAAGAGGGGGCCGCCATTTGATTTTGGCACTTAGGCGTTGGGTGGGTTGGCATCTATTGGTACCTGTTGGCACAACGTGAGGTCTCTCGTGTGCACACAGCACAACACACCGCGATTGCTGTCAAAACACAAAAAGCGGGATCTTTGGCAAAGCCTTTCGCAAAGTATGTAGGGCACGTCCTCTTGGCATGCATCGACTCTATGAACGACGACTCGATGTGTATCCTGACACCAGAGATACGATGGGAACTCGAGCCTGGCCTATCTTCATTATGTGAGATGCTCGGCGAGTACAATCGAGATGCCTTGATAGTCTCTGTACTTGATTCCGGCGGCAAGACTTTCATGAAGTTGCTCTGGAGGGAGTATGAGGAGCAGCGATATGTGGGGAAGGGGTAACGTGATATGTATTTGTGGCTTTGGAGATGTTTTCGCCTCTCAGAGGGCGGCGAAAACTCCGTCAAGGGAAGAAGCACCAAGGCACACGCTTTAAATGTTGTTCTATTGGTGTTTGGCGGGAAAACTGCGTAATGGCATATGAATGACTGGCATGGGGATTGATAATGTGCAATTAGATTGTCATGCAAATTTTATACCAGGGGGCCTGCCACTTCCATGACTATCGGTTGCAGTCCCCCGCGGCGTAAAGAATAGAATCTCATCTAGGTGGAGTTAAGGGGGATTAAGGGGTTGGCCAGAACACAGCGCTCACTGGTGAGTACCGAAGAGAGTACGGCACGAGCTCCCCTGGGATTGCTATGAGCAATTGAAGATAGCAAGGAAGGACCGATGGTCGAGTCTTTCTCTCGCTGACACGGGGACACGGTCAGACGACGAGAAGAAACGGGACGGTCCAAGAGGAACTCGGTGGTCGTAGTTCACACGTGCATCAGGCTGTGCACCACAGATAGGCACGTTTGATTCAACGCCACTCGAATCCGCAGTCGTTTGCCTTTCGCAATTCACCACTATCTTCCCCTACAGTCATAGCACGCATACTGCTCAAGACATCCTAAGAGCTGTTTTCTCGTCTTCACATCACCATGACGTCGAGCTCTCTTCGTTCCTCGTGGCGCTCGCCGCGCCACTCTGGCAATGCAGGTGTGTTACTAGTTTCCATTCCCACTGAAATCACTTTTTCATGTTGCCCCGCACGCAATCGTCCCTACCCGGGTTTCAGACTGTCACTTAGATCCTGCCGAGGCCAAAAAGCAGATCGATCGCATCCCTCGTTTTCGCATTCTTGTCTTGGGCAGAGCAAGTGCGGGTAAAACAACTGTTTTACAGCGGGTCTGTAGCACTACGGACCAGCCTGAGATCTTCAATGGAAATGGAGAGAAGGTATGTGGGTGTGTTATGTGCTTCGCATTTGTCAACATGTCATTCTGCCAGGTTGATACTGGGGCAGTGCAGGGTTCACTGGGGGTAAGGCCGCCACGTGAAATTACATGGTGCTCACGTTAAACTTAAGCAGCGTCGCTATCATAACATTGAGAATGAGCTAGTGTTTAAAAGTAACCCGGGCTTTGTGTTCCGTGACTCAGTTGTACTTGAGGTGGGGAGCTCGGCAGAGTTTGATAGGGTGCAGAAATTTGTTACAGATCAGGCAAAGTCTACGGAACTGGAGAAGAGAATACATGCAATTTGGTAGGGGCATGTCTGACTAGTGCTACTGGGAGTCCACTGACCTGCTCTTTGTGATTGATTTAGGTATTGCATTCCTTTGAGTGACATCCACAGGATGGTCACAGGTGTTGAAAGGAAGTTCTTTAATGCATGTGATTCGGGACATGGTATGTGTACACAAATATCATATCATATTTAGTGCAAGGATTTAGGATTGGCACAGTTCCTGTGATTGTGCTACTAACAAAGGCTGATGCCTTACAGCTTTATGCATTCATGGAGCTTGAGGACAATGGATTAACTGTAGATGATGCACGGGAAGAAGCACCAGTGGCAGCAAAACAGTTGCAGAAGCAATGTCTGGAACAGATCCAAGGGCAGCTGAATGGACTGAAGTTTCCACCTCAAACCTATGTGATACTCACTGGTAAGTAAGTTATGAACCAAAAAACTGCTGATTAGCATGTGTCTCCAGACATGCAACAGGAGAGTGCAGATTGTGAAGAGTTATTGAAATGCACAGCAAATGCTTTGAAAGAGGAAGAGCTGCAACAACTGCTTATGTCATCACAGTGGTCAAACTTGGGACTCTGCATGGAATTTGCCATAATGAAGTGAGTGGGGAAAATCAAGTTCTTCTGGGTGCTGACTACAGAAAGGACATTGAGGGGGAGCATGAAACATGTGGCTGGTCAGATTGAACTGGACAGCTTAGCATGTGCCCTTTCAATGTGGTTCCCATTTGTAAGCAGCCAATATTTCAGGTGAATGAGAGGCTAATTAGGTTATAGGAGGTGTGTGAAATTCTGCAAGTGTAAATAGTACTGATGCTGAAGGTGATTGTGGCTGTTGTGTTGGACTGGGGTTTATAGAGAGTGAGTGGAGTCATGGCAGATGGTGGTGAATGCATGCTGACTGTGTTCACCACTACTTTGCTTTGCTTGCATGCATAGAATGCAAGTGAATGGATAAAAAATGGTGGCCATGGATGGTTTCTGAATTTGATTTTCTCTCCTACCCTATTGCATTTGCATTCATAGGATGTGAGTGATGTTGTGGCAGAATCTGCTGGAGGAAAATATATGCTCATAATCCTTATTATTTCACTGTTGACCTCTGGGTCTTAGAGAGTGAGTGTTGTGGAAATTTCCCATTTAGCATGTGGTTTACAAGGTCTTCTTGTCAAATATATAGATGGTGAGCTTGATCACTGCATGTATCTCTGTAATACTACTGAGATTTTGTGCTAGGATGTAGGTGCTATCTTTGCATGGAGTATGCCTTTTTTCTTAATTCTCCTCCTGTATCTTTCCCAGGATGTTAGTTGTCATAATTCCTCTGAAATGCTGACAATGTTTAACCTACTTTAACATTGGTTACCATTTTACCCTTGATATCTCAGGTGGTATGTTTCATGTTTTTTTGCTAGCTGCCTATGATGTGTTGAATTGGTTGGTCATAGCAACCCATCACACATGGAAGTGGTTCTATCTCTATCCCTACATTGTCCACATCAAGGGAGCCTTCCCTGAAGGCACTTGCTGAACATGGCATTGGTAAATTATCATTATCTCTTTTGATACTGCTTTGATCTGAAGGCTCATGATTACAGGTTGTGTAATTGTCTTTGAATACTTATTTTTCCAGTCACAGGTCAAGGATGAGGGTACTGCAAGGAAGGATTTGCAGCAGGATCTGACAGTGATTGTCAGAAAGTATCAGGAATCAGGTGTCCAAGATATTGTTAATACATGCATTACAGAAGCCTTCCAGCAGCATGGTGAAAGTGTGGATGATTTATGCCCTGTGCTTGTGGGTATAGCACAGGCAAACCAGATGTGTAAGACACATTTTTTACCACATTGATGGAAGTCCTATCTGATCTGTCCACAGCAAAGAAATTCCTGAAATGAAAAAAAAAGATAATTTCAACTTTCTGCACTTCACTGTTCTTGGTAAGTCCCTTGGTGGCCATCTACTAACCAGTATGAAGATTTGATCTGCAGCATCTCAATGCCTAACAGTGTCTTTTTTGAAATCCCCTTTTGCTGTGGAGAATCCTGTGAAATTTGGAATCTGTTTGTTATTGTATACATGCATGTCCTCTCCTATAGTCCTGTACAACCTTCAAATTTGAGACCTGATTTCTTGCTGTTAGAAGTTGGGAATTCATGCTGCTGTTGTATAACCCTATATAGATTGCTGGAATCTGGCAATTTGTACAACAATGTCCAAAGTCTCATATACATCCAATCTGCCACCACAATCTTACTTTTCTCACAAACATTTCCAGTGTTATTGACCTTGAACCACAAAACATCCATATGCATGTTGTAAGTAGACATTTTCACAATTTATGGAGTTTGTCATGACTGTGCATTTGTCCTAGGTCCTCACTCACTCTTCACCCCTTTTCCACCAGTCATTTGCTCACTCTGCACCAACTCTGCCCATCCCCTGACATTTACGAGTCATCTCCACTCCAACTGCTGTCAGACTTGTACTGCTCTCCTACTGGACCATGTGGGCTGTTCTCTGAGGAGTCATGTGACTACCCTTTGGACTTCTCCCTGACAGTGCATGATCAGGTACTCTGCAGTGTGCATGCTGCATGGTCTGGCACCTGGACTGTTTCCTCTTTGGGATGTTCTGTGTTACCTGTTTGTGTGTCCTCTGTCTACCCTTCATTTGTCATATAGGAAGTTTTACTTGAAATTTTATGAGTCTCTGTATGTCAGTTCTGATTCCAGTTACTGTACCTCTGTAGTAGTAGTAGTAGTAGTAGTAGTAGTAGTAGTAGTAGTATAAAAGCATGTATCATACTCCACTGTTCAGCAGTACAAATATTGACTTAGTTCCTACTCCCTCTGTCTCTGTCTTCTGTCTGTCAGTACTCTCCCTCTGAAATACAAGGGCTGAGATTGTGCAAGGGGGTAGCACATGAGCTAAACCTGATGCCCTCACTCTGCTCCACCTTTATCTTGGTGGACTTCATTCCTGCCAACACTCTGCCAGTTGGAGTTCAGTTCTTCCTGTTGGACTTGCTTCTGAACCTCTCCCCAGACCTTGCCTAGTGTCAGAGTTGGTTGGAGTAGGCCTGGACTTGACAGAGTTGCAATTCTAAGATATTTTGAGCAAGCAGACTGTTGGTACAGCCAGAAGGCCAATAGAGTCTATGAATGGTCACAAATAAGAGTAGCATGTTTGGGTATGGGACAATTGCTTATCATCAATTTGTATGGTGTGTTCAATATCCAATCTCCACTACAATGTGCCTAGTGTAAGGTGGTGGAGGGTTATCTCAAGTTCTTGTGCATGAAGTGTACCAGATGGTATTCACACTGTTGTAAGACATATAAATAACACTTATTTACAATATTTTTCAAGATGTGTATACATATAACATCATGTGCACTGAATGCTACAACCCCCAGATGACTACTTGTTCAGGAGGAAATTCTTGCAAGGACTACTACACTTGATAATTCAGAGCATCTTTGAAGCTTGCAGAGTATCAGCTGAGCAATCAACAACCAAGGAAATCCTTGAAGAGGTATTCTGTGTGGAAATGGTGCAGGATGCCATAAGCATGCATATGAGAATGAGCCATACTGGCTCTGGAGGGAAATCTCCCAGGGACAAAGTGGTTTATACCCACACAGCAAGAAGAGTGATCAATGCTCTTTGTCTAATGAAAACTTTAAAAACATATGTAACATTTATCAAAGAAAGACAAATCTTCCAGTGAAAAGCAAAGATTCTGGAGGAAGGATGGTGCAGACCATTTATCTTGTCAACAAGAACTGGATCACCTGTATGATAAGAGGAAACCACCCCAGAAGTTCCAAGCAGGGATCACCTGCTTCCATGGCAACAAGGAGGGCTATATGGCTCCTGATTGCCCCTTCCTCTACAGGATAGAGGTAAAAGTGCAGTGAAGCTGCAACTGTTAACAGACAATGTCCAAGAGGACACACAGTATGAGCAAACTTGAAAGGAGGATTAAGCTGGAAGAGGAAACTTTTGGTGAGCTTCACAAGGAAGAATTGGTGCAAGTATATGAGGAAAATTGGGTGGTAAACCAAAAGATATGTGTATACAGTACAGGGGCATAGCCTATGGAAAACAAAGTGCAAACATTTGGTAAGTGATTGGTAACCTATAAGTAAGGAATGTAAGCCATTGGAATCAACTCAGAAAGCCTCAGGAAGTATTGGTAGTGATCAATAAGGGAAAAGTGAAAGTCACTAAGCAAAGTCAATAGAGTGGTAAATATAGGCAATAAGTGAGACAAGGACAGTCAAAACATCAAAGTATGAGCCAAGGAATGCCAGAAACTGAGTAAGTGCACTGGTTATGCATTAGGGGGAGGCTGTACATGTCACATCTCAAAGGCATTGCTGCTAGACTGAACGTTACATTTTGCCCCTGTCTTGCCTGTCTGTATGCCTTGTTTTCCTTCCATTGGACTAGCATTCCTTTTCTGGCTGTCTTCTCTCTGTCCTAATGGCCTTCTACCTCCACCAGTGGTGTTTACCTCTCATACCTCATTATGGACATGCAATGTTATTGTTCACCCAATAGCATATTTAGCTTAGCTAGATGTGGACACTGTGAGTCAAAGTGTGGTTTGGTGGAATAAACCAACCAAAACCAACACAAAAGACAAAGAAAGCAAGTGGTGGTGTGCCTATGCAGTACCTAGATGGAGGAAGCAGTTTTTGCAAGTTACAACACCAAAGGATGAGTGCTGAGGGTTGGGGGTGCTCCTGAGGAAGAGGGAGCAAGAATGTGAGAGATTGTGATGGGGTAGACTGCCATCAGCCTACAGAAGGATGGATGATGACTTAATTTGATGTCCTGAGCTGTACTGAGTTCAGGGAGGACTTGGAGTGAAGCTGGTTGATGGAAGGCAATGATAAGTGAAGTAGATGATAGTTAGACCCTTAATGAGGTCTCAACTATCAAAGATGATGAATGAATTACTGAGTGACAAAGAAATGCAAGCAAGAGGGGCTCTCTGACATCTTCTTATTCAGCTATCTAAGTACAGTGATTTATATACAGTACAGGGGCATTGCCTATGGAAAACAAGGTGCAAACACTTGCTAAGTGATTGGTAACTGATAAGTAAGGAATGTAAGTGGTGAGTAATCAATTTAGAAAGCATTGGTGAGCATTGGTAAGGATAAATAAGCAAAAAAGCAAAGAATCAGTAAGCAAGGTAAAAGATTGGTGAGTATTGGCAATAGGTGAGTCAAGGACAGTCAGAATACCAAAGTATCAGTCAAGCATTGTCAGAAACTGAGTAAGTGCACTGGAATCACATTAGGGGGAGGCTGTGCATGTCACATCTTGAAGGCATCACTTCTAGGCCAAGGTGGGATGAAAGAGAGGCAGTGCTGATCTGATCCTGATATAGGACATCCAAAAGGGGACAGCAGGTGTCAGGTGTCAAAAGGGGAACTATGAAAATCACAAGTATCTACAGCACAGTTGAATCCCATTGCAAAGGCTTGTGAGATGGAAGGGACTCACATTTACCTAAGTGAGGGGAATATTCCAAAATGGTGCCTTATAGAAAACTGGGTATGCTTACTAAAAATGACCTGTATGACTCCTCAGAGGGGAGCAGCTTTGGAATGGAAAGCAAATGAACCACACAGTATATTCCAGACTCATTGGAATGCCATAGTTGGTTATCTGCAGTGACTAAGCAAGACAGTCATAAGGAGCAGATGCATCAGCCTCACCAGGTAGTAGTACAATGAATGGCACACTAATCAACAGTTAGCCACCCATCCATGTGGAAGCACTGAATACCCACTGAGCAAGACATGTAGGGTATCAAGAATCCTGACTTCACATGAGTAGATTTGACTAATGCCACAGGGTGATCTAACTTACCATATGGCACCAACAAGGAATTTCATGGTTGAGGCATCCTCAGAGTAGTGCATAAAATACACATAAGTCTGTATAACCAGTGAGCATAAGTGCTCTACTGCATATTCTGTTTAACATGCTGTGAGTCAAAGTGTGGTTCAGTAGTGTAAACCAACCAAAACCAACACAAAAGACAATAAGAGTGAGTGGTGGTGTGCCTATGTGGTACCTAGATGGTGGAAGCTCTTGTTTGGGCAGGTTTTTGCAAGCTACAGCACTCAAAGATGAGTACTAAGGTTGGGGATGCTCCTGATGAAAAAGGAGCAGGAAAGCAAGAGGATTGCAATGGAGTAGACTGCTGTCAGCCTACAGAAGGATGGATGATGACTTAATTCAGTGTCCTAGGCTATTCTGAGCCCAGGAAGGTCTGGATGCAAAGTATATTGATGATAGGCAATGATAAGCAAAGTAGATGATAGTTAGACCCTTAGTAAAGTCTCAACTATCAAAGCTGCTGAATGATTTACTGAGAGATGATGAAATGTGAGCAAGTGGGGCTCTCTGATGTCTTCTCTTTTTTATAGCTATCTAAGTACAGCGATTTATATACAGTACTGGGGCATTGCCTATGGAAAACAAGGTGTAAACACCTGGTAAGTGATTGGTAACTGATAAGTAAGGAATGTAAGTGGTGTGTAATTGACTTAGAAAGCATTGGTGAGCATTGGTAAGGATAAGTAAGCCAAAAAGCAAAGAATCAGTAAGCAAAGGCAGAAGATTGGTAAGTATTGGCAATAGGTGAGTCAAGGACAGTCAGAATTTCAAAATATGAAGTCAAGCAAGGTCAGAAACTAGGTAAGTGCTGTCACACACCAAAGGTGTTGTGGACATGGTTACAGCTGACTCTGCATAGCTCATCAATGAGTTGCATGCCATGAATGCAGATGAAGACTAAAGCCCTCATGTGTAGAAGGACTGCTAGACATGAGCAGTCATCCTTTGTACAAGAATGAGTCATCAGTGCTAAAGAGAAAAGAGGAAGTGAGTTAAGCATGCATCAAAAGTTTTTAGCACCCATGTATGGCATTCTGGTTTTTGTTGTATCTCCACCATTTCCAAAGATATCGACTCCATTCTCACACTCGCTTAAAGTGCTCAGCCATGCCATCCTGCCTTCCAGTTTTGGAAATGATCCTCACACCCTATGCATTTCTACAGTACTCCATTCATCAGATGCTCATTTCACTAAGGCTGTCAGATATGGCTGCCTCTTCATCAATCATCTCACTTTTCTCTTTTGCCAGAGACAGTGGCTATGTATATCTGCCAGGTGTTCCCACCAGCTTCTGTCCTGAAGCCCCCTGGTTCATTCCATTGTCATCAGCCCCATCC